CTTTGTGCGACTGCTTCCTCTCAAAGCACTTCTTGCACACCCCAACCTCTGCCTGCTCATATCAATGTCCACCAAGTGTGGAACCAAAACAATGCAGCCACTGCTAACCCAAAACCCATTCAAACCAATTTGATCCACGCTGGATCTGCATGGCTGCTCTTCTCCAATCCCATTTGCATGTACAGGTATGTCACGTCACTTGGAGGGATGAAGGTCCTGCTGTGCTCTGTGCCACTTGGCCTGGCCAGCCATGAGCCCCCAACTCAGTTCGCTCGTGCAGCCCAGGATTGCTCTGCTGCAGGTGGCTGCACCGTGTGAGGGATGAAGGCTGCTGTTTCCATGGCAGCAGTTAGACGACTCCACTTGTTAGCAATTCTACTATTAAAATGCAAACAAAACTACACCAGGAGAGCAACTTTTCCCTTCCCACTCTTTGGCCTTTGGAATCCTCAGGCTATCACTGTGGTTATTCCCACCCAGTTTTCCCAGTTTAGCTCACGGCACTGCATGAGGGGCAGAGTGGTGCTGGGGGGCTGCACGGCCTTTGGAACTCCTCAGGTCAGCTCCAGCCCAATGCTGGTACCTACACTCAGCAGTAGGTACCACCTACTGCTGTTCTCAGTGCCACCCCATTGGCACTGGGCTGCCTGCAGCACATGGGAAGGGAGCCCCAAACCTTCCATGGGATGGAAACCCATTAGCTAAGTCCTCTCCTTGCTTAGTGAAACAATGATCTTCCTGACCATTCATTCCCCATCAAAAACCTTAACATTAAGAAGAAAAACAGCAGGATGGTTCTTTATCCAGAGCTGTCCAAAAAGAGGAGAGCAGACGGGACCCTGCACGTGTTGTGCCAGCCTGTGCTGGCAGTCGCACGCTTGGGCAGCGATGATTACAGCCAGTTCCCACCCAAGCGCAGCAGAGCAGTCGGGGAAATTCACCCTGCATCCTCCGCAGCACAGCAGACGTGTGAAGCCATGAAGCAGGTGCGCTGGGGTGAGAGTGCTCAGCAAGACGAAACCTGGTCGTACCAGCAGCAGCTGCTAGACGTCCTCTCTGAAGCGAGTTTCTTCCTTGAATAAAGAATTCTAGGGGGAAAAGCGGGCAAAACAAAGCACAGAATGCAGCGAGTGCCTGGGCTCCATCCACAGCACCGCAGCAGCACGGAGCTCAGGCGCTGCGGCTGCCGGGCAGTGCGCGCAGGGACGGAGCGGGGCAGGCGGGGCGGGAGGCGCAGCTCGGGGTGCTCCCGCTGGGCCGGTGGCGCCCCCTAGTGGCACGGCGGTGCTCTGCCGGCGCTCAACGGAGCGCTACCGGTCCCGTTTATTTCTCCGTAGCGTCAGCCAGGTGTGACAAGCCGACAGACCACCAGTGGCTATCTCCCACTTTCTAGCCGCACCTATCAGCTGCTAATTTGTCCAAGCAAACGGCTGTAGAGAGCTCAGGAAAACACCCGGCGTAGGGTGCACAATCGTAGAATCGTTTGATTTGGAAGGGATCGCTAACGGCCATCGGATCCAACTCCCTGCAACGAACAGCGATACCCACAGCTCCGCCAGCGCTCGGAGCCCCGTCCCGCCTGTGTGTCTGCAGGGACGGGGCGCCCAGCCCCTCTCTGGCAGTGCTAATGCAGAATTTGTGATCGCACCCACTGCTGCCTGTGGGCCCGCAGGTGGCCGCGCTGAGCTGGAGCCCGGTGCAAGGAGCGCTCCCTGCAGAGCCTAATTTAGGTCTAACCTGAAGGAGACTTGTCCCCTGCGCCCCTGTATGGCCACAGCTCACTGCTCTGCCTCGCCTCATGGCCTCGCTGTGTTCATACCTGGCTTCTCAGAAGGCTTTGCTCAGACGCAATCACATCAGCTTCTGAATTCTTCTGAAAGGGCTGCACACCACCCTCTGTTTAAACCCTGCTTTAAAACATTTGAAACTGTGGAGGAGCCACATCAGAAACCCCTTCTCAGCCATTCGATAGAGATCTCTCCCTTCTTCTGCCATCTGAGCCACTGATAGAGCCCACAGCTGGCTTAGGGCAGCACCAACCCCTGCCCAGGCACACCTCCAGCACCAGCTGCCTCCAGGGAAGTTTTAATTTTTATTTGTTCTTTTATTTTTAGGAGACCCAGTGCCACCACCTGCAGTTCACTAATTTTCCTTCTGAACTGGAGAAGGAGGTTTGCCTGCCTGGGAAGCTCTACATGGGTAAATGTTACACTGTGGGACATACCTGTGCTGGGAGCACACTGCTTTATTATAGAATTGACTCCTGGGGTTAGAGAAGAATGTGTTTCCAGTAACAGGCAATAGGGGCAAGAGCAGCAATCCCATATGCTTTCCAGAAGGTGAAGCAAACACCATTCAGCCACAACAACCTTTATTCCCTAAACTTCCCCAGAGGGAGCATTTCAAAGCATCAAAAGGATTCAAACCTGTCCGGCTGCTGCTGCAGCATAATTAACAGCTGCACAGTCAGCTCCAACCACAGCTGACAAAGCCCTGAGCATCAATCCTCTATTTATCACACTCTTGGAGTATTTATAGATCTCAGCAAAGCAGGGGGCAGAGAGAGAAGGAGCAGAGCAGGTGAGCTGCTTGCTGGGGGAGATAACATTTGCTTTCATCATGTGGCATTTCCGCAGTGCCTGGCAGTGCTGCAGGAAGGAACAGGAGGTATCTGGGCAGTGCTGACCCACCGGTGGGTGCCCCCCCCTGCATGGCCCCAAAGGTGAAGGGCCCAGGTATAGCACCTGATTTCCCGCACCACTGATTATGGGCTACCCTTGGACTGTACAGTTTGTGTCCTATCTCCTCGGTATCATTTACAACTCACGGCCTCTTCATAGGAACTGATAAGAAAGTGGTAATTATCCCTGCAATAGTGTTGCTTTGGCACTTTCACAGCTCCTCTGCGCCCGCACACTGCAGTTTCCCTTTGCAGCAGGCGGTGGGAATCCCCGCTCCCATTGAACCTCACCTGTGCTATCTTGCAGCAGGCGGTGCCCAAAAGTTATCGGCACCCATTTTACTTCCTCCTGTGGCTTTATTCAACCTGCTCAGATCATAAACACATATAAAACCTAAATAAAACAATTTAATTTCTCTCATAAATGAGCTTTCAAGGAAAACAATGGTTCTGCTCCTCCAAAGAGGAAGCAAAGTTGAAGTAACAAGTCTTCCCTGCAGATTCTCTGCTCACTGAGCTGCCCATTGTCCACTCTCCATGGCTGACGCAACCTCCCTGGGAGTTGCTTCATGCCCTGGCAGCCTGCGAGGACCCTGCAGAGCTGCCCCAGCTCTGAGAGCTGCACCCTCCTCACACCCCAGGCTGAGCAGTCAGTCCTGCAAGGTCTGGGTTTGTCTGGCACTTCCAGCCTGGTCCAGCAGTCTGTTGCGCGTACCCCAGTCCTAACCTATCTGAAGAAGTCTTTTGACCACAAGAAAATATTTTCCCGAGCAGAGCCTTTCCTTTTCCATGCACTTTATTTACAAGTCTCCATCACTGGGCCTCCAAGTAGCTGTCAGATGTGGCAGCTCCAGTGCTGATGGCTTCCTAGACGTGCTCAGGGGAACAGCGTTGTATTAAACATGCAGCATGTACGGTGCAGATGGAGCAAGGGCTGTCAGCTGAACAAACTCCCTGCAGTTTTCTGAAACTTGTTTTTAAGGGAAGTGTTTTGCTGTTGCTGGCTTTGAGGAGACCTTTCAGAATCTAAAGGAAGGCTGTAGGAAAGGAGGGGACAGAATCCTTAGCAAGGTTTGCTGTGATAGAACAAGGGGAAACGGTTTCAAACTAAAAGAGGGGAGATTTAGATTGGATATAAAGAAGAATTTTTTTAAAATAAGGGAGAAGAGGCACTGGCATGGATTGCCCAGAGAGGAGATAGATACCCTGTGATACCCATGGTTAGGCTGAAGGGGCTCTGAGCACTAAAGGAGCTGTGTTCATTGCAGGGAGTTGGACCAGATGGCCTTTAATGGTTCCTTCCAATTCAAATGATTCTTGTCCTGCCCTGTCCTATTCTCTACAGTGTTTGTTTTGTGGCCTCTTACGGGATTGTTATGTTCTCTGCCATGAGATGTTTGAACAGAACCATTCCTCTGCAATCTACTCCCCACATTGACTCAGAGTGGATGCAGAGGAGAGAAGGATTATCCAAAATAAAGGTGGCGCAAAGGAATGTGGGCCATGTGTGAAGCAGAGGGGGCCATGCTGGTTCTTGGTCCTGGTTTGGCTGGGGAGCACCAGAGCCTTGGGGTATGGATTTCCCTACAGTGCAATTTTTCTGAGAGCACCCCTGGAGGGGATTCTTGCATCCTCATTTTCCAGTTTCATTCTGTCTGGGCACTGGAGCTGCACACATTAGGAAACTCCCCATAATGAGCTCCTGTTGCATTTGGGAATGCTCCTCAGCCCGCTCTATAGAGTGACATTTCCTTGGTGCTGGGTTTGGAGAACACCGTTATTGTTTTGGAGGGTGTTTGAACAACGGGAAGTTTGAACTTTGAATCCGTACTGCTCCAAATTCAGCCACCTTTTAAGAACCTACACTCCTGCGCTTTCCTTCTCCCTGCACCAAGGCCGGGCCGCCCACAGCCTGCGGCCGCACACCGCTGCCAGCCCAGCCCCGCTCCCCGCCGCAGCGCCGGCGCGGCTCACTCGCGCCCCCCAGCGCCCACGCGGGTCCGGAACCGCAGCAGCGGCAGCAGCGAGCGGGGAAGCCCCGGTGGTTCCGCGTGGCTGCGTGCCGCCTATCGCTGCCGCAGCCCTTTCCATAGAGGGGAAGCCACCCAGGCTTTTTATCGACGCGGCTGACCTTGAAATGCCTCTCAGATTATTGGCCATCTGCCTTGAAATCCGCGCTTCCCCTGTCCGTTTACTCCGTGTTTGCTGTTAACAGTTCATTAAAGTCTTTTTCAGTGCTCTGCTTGCAAAAAAAAACAAAAAACAAAAAAAAACCCTACAATTGCAGTGAAGCCCACCTCATCGGAAATCATTCCTCACGTGCAGCTCTACAGAGACGCTTGGACGCTCAGGTCCTCAGGGTCCAGGGCAGCATCCCTTCTCTCCTTGCTCTCCTGCTGCTCGTGGTACCACTGCTGTGCAAACTGCACCGCGTGGTGCACGCTGTGGAAAGCCGGCTGGCCACCGTGTGCCCCAGCAGCCCAGCCTCCATCCCGCAGCCGGCGGCGGAGGAGGGGGTTGCAGTTGGCCAGGAGCACCTGGACGCCGAGCTCCTGGTAGTCACTGTGCGTCTCTTTCAGCACGGAGAGACCCGCGGTATCTATGAACTGCATAGCCCCGCAGTCAATGACTAAAGTGTGCATATCTAGGGAGGGCAGGCAGGCGTCTGTGGGTGATTTCTCCACGTGTTTCTTGGAAGATTTCAGGCAACCAAACACGGTGTTAAAAATGCTCTTCCTGTTGCCTGTGTCCGCTTTTGCCTGGGTCTCTGCCCTGTGATGCCTGGCAGCCAGCAGGACAGGATTGACCCCAGTTTTCTGGTAGAGAGCAGTCTTGAAATAGTCTTTGTTGGCATAGTAAAGGGACGACTCAAAGCGGAAGATTTTGATGTTGGCAATACTGCTGAGCTGCTTGTAAGCAGCCTGGTCTTCGTAGATTTCCGTGTTGCTGACCTTGCCCAGGAGTGCAGCCCTGGGTCTCTGTGTGCGGAAGATGACGCAGAGCAGAGCAAAGCAGACACCCACGAGGAGCCCTATCTCTGTGGTGATCAGCGTGGAGGCCAGCATGGTTGTCCACCACACCACCGTGTCCAGTTTGCTGAGCTGCCACATGCGTGGGGTTTCACAAAATGTCCTCAGCCCCCCCCGCAGGTTGACAATGGTGACCACCCCCAGGATGGCAGTTTGCAGAGAGTAGAAGAGCGGAGCGATCCACAGCAACACCAGCAGCAGCACCAGGGAGGTGACCAGGCTAGAGAGCTGCGTTTGGGTCCCTGTGGACTCCTTCAGCAAAGTCTTGGTCAAGGCTGCAGAGCTAGCAAAGCAGTAGAAGAAAGATGGGACCAGGTTGCACATGCCAATGGCGATCATCTCTTGGTTGGCACGGACAGCATAGCCATGCTTTTTGCCAAAGATTTCCGCCAGGGAGACCGTCATAGCAAAGCCTATAATAGCAATAGGCAGAGCATCGACTGCCAGGCTGGAAAACAGCTTTGTATCTGGTAGGGTGGGTTTCCTGAAGCCGGTGGGGATGGCCCCACAAACTGAAGACTTGTATCGCTCTTCAAAGTTGAAGTAGTAAGATACTACTGTGGCTATGATGACCACGAGCAGCTCTACAGGGAATGGGGCCTTCATCTTGTCCTTGTACCGATCGTTGATCATTTTGACAGGTATTATGATGGCCAAAGCAACCAGGCTGGTGACCAGGTCACAGATATTGGTGTTTTGGATGTACCTGAAAAGATCCACCCATGTCAGGATGAAGGACCCCACCCCTTCATGGCGGGGAATATTCAGTCCAAGGAGGTACTTCATCTGGGAGGTAATGATGGTGAGGCTGGAGCCAGCCACAAAGCCACTGAGGAGAGGTTCTGACAGGTAGACAGACACAAAGCCCAGCTGTAAAATCCCCAGCAGGATCTGAAAAGCAAGACAGCCATATCATTAGCATCCATGAGAAGGGCTAGAAGAGGTGGCTGGAAATTTATGTCAATTTGCTTCTACTTCAGCATATCTAGCTATTCTGTCTGCTGAGCATTCAGTGTGAGACCCAGATTTTTGTCTTAGGTAGATAATGTGGTGCGTTAAATACTAAAGACTGCTACCCAGACTCGTCTGTGGTGAGAGATGCCATACAAGTGCTTTCTACAAGATCCCCATTGCTGTGTCCTTTCAAGCAATAAGGGTGCATAGTTAATACTGAAAATCCAGGGAGCAGACAGATCAAAGCAGTTATTAGCATCTCAGTGGCATGAGAATAGTGTGATGTAGTGATTTTAGTTGTTCCAGTGAGAAGACCTGAAATTGTCTACTAACAGCCAGGCCCGAGCCACGGTGACATAGCCATTAAAGGAGCCCCTGCTGATGGCAGAGTCTGTGACGGCTGTTCCTTCTTGCCCTGACTGCTTCTGACCTGCAGAGCAGTCAGCTCAGGTCCAGAACCAAAGTGATGGGAAGGTGGCTCGCAGTTCCCTTTATTTCCCCTGCTGTGTTTGATTCTACGCATGTTTCAGACACATTCAAGGACCGATCACATGGGGGAAGCAAAACCTTAAATTCAGCCGTGTTCGGGGTTTTCAAATCACTGCAGCTGGCTAAAGGTGTCAGGCTCTAGTTGCATTTACGAAAGGGATCTCATGATTTTTAAGTCTGAAGTGAGACTGGAGCTTAGAGTTGTTAAGCCCTAAGAAGTTCCTAGCAAGGAAACTGCACAACAGTGAACGTTTGTACCTGGTAAAGACCGACCAGAAAGCTCAAGGAAAGGGCCACAGTGATGGCGTAGCAGCTCCTGTCACAGGTACCCGTCCCATTACTGGAGGAGGTGGCATTGCCCACCAGCAGAGAGCCAGTGTTGTTGTCATACCCTGCTAGCTGCAGGTGCCGATTCACAGACTGCCCAATCATCAGGCAGAGGACACCGAAGGATCCCACGAAGTTGTGGCGTGAAGTGGCCATAGCGACATAGATGATACTGCAGAAGAAGTTTGTGTAGATTCCATAGATGGGATCCTGGTTGGCTAACAGGGAGTATGAGATGGACTGAGGGATGGCGACTATCCCCACCAGGAGCCCAGATATGACATCCCCAAGCAACTGCGTCTTGATGTTGTAACGGGGAAGCCAGTCTAGCACTGGGAACAGCTGGCAGAAGAAGGTGATGATGGTCTGATGATTGCATTTGCAGACCTCTCTGGCTTTTTTCAGGATAAAATCCTTGGTCCTGAAGTCTATGGGCTCATTCTCCTCCAGCTTGATGTGCATAAAGTTGACAGGAGGCTCTCCTGGTGTTAGGGAGCTCTGCACATCTTTGCTCTGTCCTGATGTCTGGTTTGACTTGTCCTCCATTGCACCAGGAAGGCTAAGCAGGAGAGCAGGTATGAAGAGTTGCAGACATGAAGAGTTGCATTCATGTGCATAATGTCTGGGGCTCACACGGATTGTACAAATTAACAAATAAAAGAAAATAACCTCAGCCAAACCGAACAGAAAAGCACCTTCTTGTGGTGCCATTTGTTATTAGTTACAGACCCAATCAAGCACAAACCTGAGGCCATGGTTTGCGTTGCATTCATACTGACACAGATGTCCCCATCAGAGAGAGCTACAGAGGCTGTTGTGCTCTTTACTAGTGGGACAGCAGAGGGATAAAGGGCAGAAAACCTTACCCTTCTTGATGGTACTTCCATTTAAAATCTAGTTTGAGAATCTTGAAATACAGCAAGTAATGTTTTAGGGAATGCAACACACAGGTGGGGAAAGTTATTTGGAAAATAATTTTTCTTTTAACATTTTGACATTTGAAATTACATTGCTGCCTTGCATCAAACGAGCCCATCACAGGGACTGGTGTCTGCAAAATGAAAGTACGTGGCTTTCTCAGTCTGATTAAGTACATACTTCCCAAAGCTATTCCAAGTTTCTCAGTCAAAATGCAGTTGCAATAAAGCATACCTTTTCATCAGAATTGAACACAGACACACAGACAAAAGTGGTCCTGAGTGTAGTCCTGGCTGCAGTTTGGAAACAGAACTGGGATAATGAGAAATCCCATTCTCCTGCCCTACAGGTTCATTTCCCAACCCAACTCTCTTACCTCTGGCTGCAGGAGCCACGGAACACAGAGAGCTCTCTTAGGGTCCCTCAGAAGCCACGTGGAGCTGCTCACCTGCTGCCAGACCTGTCTTCTCACCTCCCAGCACACACTGAACAGAGAAAGCACAAGCCAAACAATTGCAAACCTCTTTCCTTTGCCCTTCTTCTGAATCTCGCATTGCTTCTCTTGAGAAGACTGATTTTTTCTGCCAAGACATTGGCCCTTTTATCTCATCTCAGCTGATGAAGACAGTGCAGCCAGCCAAACGGGGCTATGTTTTGAAAACAAACATTGTTCTGGATGAGTATTTTTGATGAAAACTTGTTCTGGTCGTTAAGAATGATTGAAGGAGTTTGGAGAAGTGCTTCTGCTAGATAACAGTATTGCTGGTATCTGGGGATGTGTTGGCTAAACAAGGGGAGCAGTGCACAGAAATCTTCCTACATGTGCTATGGCACTGCCCCTCCCTGGGGCCCAAGTCCCACTGGGCTTCTCTGCTCAGATCTTCATCTATTCTTGACGTGATTTTGATTAAAAAAAACCAAAAAACAAAAAAAACCCTTCAGTGAAACAAACATATTTTTTCTTTTCTGGTAGCTTTTCTACCATCACGCACCTACCTAACCCTACAGAAAACCGTATTTCAGTAATTAGAGGTAAATGAAGAACATCAGTACTCTCTGCCTGCAGAAGACATGGTAAGGGAGACAGCTGCTCAATGTATTTATCTATTTATGCTAATTCTTCTTTCTCAGCCATTCCTCTACCGCCCACATACTTTCAGATATACCTGTTGATAGTTCCCCTCTCCCTCCCTCTCCTTTCAGTTGTTGACTATTCCTTTCCTTAGCCTTTTCATTCCCCTAATGCTTCAAAGATGATCCCTTCATATGCTTTATAATCCTTTCTAGTTATAGCTTATTTTGTATCTTGGCCTGAGTTTGTCTCTGTTCACTTATTTTTCACCTTCTTGTTTAGAAAATGACCCACATCTCCATCTTTTGTATGATTCCTTCCTCTTAAAGTGCAGTCACTGAAGAACTGGTGAGTCAGTCATAGAAGAATTGGCCAGGTTCATCTTGAAGGCTGGCTTATTTGCTGGGATAAAACACATCTAAGCACAATCCATCCTCTGACTTTTCATCTTATTCAGGTCAAGGAGTTCTGATCTTGACAGTCTTTTCAGCATTAATACCCACCACGAAGATGGGACAAAGCATGTTCTCCACTTATGACAGTATCTAGGCTGCACTTAACCTCAACACTGCCCTCACTGCACGTCACTTCTTCTTCATGTTCCACTTAGGCACTGCAACTCTTATGAGGAAATCTTATGGTTTCCTTTACCTCTTGCCACAGGTTTGTAAGTCTTGACTTACCCATACTCTCTCAATTCATGCTGAAGGTTATGCCTTTGAGAAGCTTTTTTCCATTCCTTCAGTCTCTGTTCTTCCCCTACCATCCTTTGTGATCTTTTAGTTGCCTGAAGCCTTCTCCATGTCTTTCCCTTTCTTGCATGCAAATTCCCAATTGCTTTTGTATAGTAGACTTTAAAATATTCCATACTTTCCATGCAATTACATTCCCAAGCTCCTTGTCCCAGCAGGCTTCCCCATGGGGTTCAGTTCTCTACAGTGGCCTCTCTGGAATGGAGGGCCTTCATGCAAGAGCAGCTTCTGCTCAATCCTTCTGCCTGTTGGCCTTTTTATACTCTCCATCCTGACAGAAAGAATGTAAGAGTATACTTGGTTACACTGAATGCTGAGTAAAACTCTAAAATTGCTTTTTCTGCATGAGGTGAGGTAAGGGCAGAGACTGGAAACATTTCACATTTCCTCTAGAAAATGTGTAACAGATAAGCTTAAAAAATAAATCCACAACAGTTCAGGTGACCTTCAGCTGGCAGAGGACATGAAGTCTTCCAAATGCGAGGTCACTACAGCTAAACATCTGAAATAGTTTGTTTTCAAATGCATATTCACGGGTTGATCTTTATTGCCACCATAAACGCACCTGTTAAACTCCACTGTGGGAAAGGTTGGGTTGGACAGATGCTGACTGTTAGCTTGAACAGTGCAAATGTAGGCAAGAACTTTGCCTCTCAGTAATACGGCATCCTGTTTTTTAAGAGAAGCAAAAATGCTTCTTTTCAGTTGTAGCATGGTATTCAAGCAACGTAACCACAATCTGTTCAATACATTGCAATACATTGCAAACAGCCAGAACCAGAACAGTGGAAACCCAAGTTCCAGGTGCAGTGGAGCTGCAGCAGAGGGCTAGTTCATTCTTACAGTGAGTTGGTAGATGGTAAGCAGGACATGAGCCAGCAATGTGACCTCACAGCCCAGAAAGCCAACCATGTCCTAGGCTGCATCCAAAAAAAAAGCACGGCCAGCAAAGTGAGGGAGGTGATCCAGCCCCTCTACTCCTTGCTGATGAGGCCTCACCTGGAGCACCATGTCCAGATGTGGAGTCCTCAGTACAGGAGAGATGTGGACCCATTTGAGCAGAGAAGGGCCACAAAAACGATCCATGGTATGGAGCACATCCCCTGTGAGAACAGGGAGCTGTTCAGCCTGGAGAAGAGAGAGACCAGACTTCAGTATCTAAAGGGGGGCTGTAAGGAAGAAGAGGACAGACTCTTTAGCAGGGCCTGTTGTGATAGAACAAAGCAAAATGGCTTCAGACTAAAATGTAGGAGATTTAGACTGGAAATAAGTAGTGTTCTACAATAAGAGAGGTGAGGCACTGGCACAGCTTGTCCAGAGAGGTGGTGGATGCCCCAGCCTCAGAGGCATCCAAGGTCAGGCTGAAGGGGCTCTGAGCAACCTGATTGAGCAGCAGATATCCCTGTTCATTGCAAAGGAGTTGACTAGATGATCTTTTGTGGTTCTTTATAACACAACCAATTCTATAATTCCAGATGATGTCTATCCCAAAATAGAAAAATACCACAAAATTGGCTGGGTACGTGTTTGTTACCCAGGCACCTTGCAATGGATAAGGGCACTGAGTTCACTTCTCTGCTGCTGTGTCAATGCATTGTTTGTGTTTAGCAGGACTAGCTACATCTCAGGCAATACAGTTGTTTTCTGTGAAACAGAGCTAACTGCATATGCAAGGATTTTTATTTGTTTTTAGGTACGTGAATATGTTTATGACTATTTGACTCTTGGAAGCTTTTCAGGTAGCATCCCAAGTGTTTTGGCTTCATAAATCGAACAGTCTGCCTTAGTAGGTGGGTGTATCCCACAGCTCTGCAGGTCCTGAGATCACAAGCCACTTTAATAAACCACAGCAAGTGAGCCAAGTAATGGTGCCAGGAATCTAAACGAAGTGCTTTTCCTTCCCTTTACACTTGGGACTTTACTGTCTTCTCAGAAGGCTGCTGGTTCAGTTCCCTTTGGAAATGAATTTTCAAGATGCAGAATTTGCAAAGCTTTGTTGTTTTTTTGTTTGGTTTGGTTTTTTTTAGGGGAAAAACCAAGAAAAGGGAGACAAGCTCAGAACTGGTCCCATTGCTGAGACATGGCAAAATTTTAAACAGCACTCAAGGACAATAATCATCAGAACCTGTCCTATGGTTCCTTCAAATCCACAGTTTTGAAGAGATAACACCAGAGAATCTGGAAGCAGTACACTGGGTCATCCCAGAAAATTAAATAGCTTTTTGCAGCCTCCTGTTATTTTTCAGTTTACGATAATGTGCAGGGGTCACAGCAGAGCGTGCGAGGCAAAAACAAGGGTTCTATTCAAACACAAACATTGGAGGGCCAGAAGTGTCACTCACCCTTAGACTGCACATGTTAAGTTTGAGAGAGACAAAGGGTCCCACAAATAAATTTTAAAAAGCATCCTTTTGGACTACTGCTCCCTCCCACCAATGAGCCAAAAAGACAAACACGCAAATAATGTTTTAAGTACATTTTGGAAGATGTGAGGTACAATAGCCTGTTGAAAGGGACTCTGTGTAGGGGTAGCAAATCCAACTGCATGTGGAAGAGCATCTTTGGCTGCAGATACCAACGCTGGGCACCAGCTGCCCCACTACTGGGGACACCACAGACTGGTCTTATCCTTTGTCTGCTTGTAAAACATGGAAAAACCCCAGCACCTCACAGTACAAAAGCTTGAGGATTTGGAGAGCACCCCCCCATTTGTATAAGGAGAATGAAGGCAATTCCTTGCTAGCTTCACAACAGTTTGTTGCTGTTTTTTCCTGTGTGACAAGTATCCAGTGCTAATGACTTTTTTCTAAATTATCCAGCCAATAATTGAAAATTCCATAATGGCTCAGTAAACTGATTAAATTGATTACAGATGAGTACTATGAAATAAGCCAGGGAGACACAACTATTTCATACTGAATTGGCACTCAGCCCAGGCTGCTTGGCATCACCCCAGGCCTGGCCTGCTGCTTCTACCTGCCAGCCCCCAACACTCCTGAGGCCGTGCTCATGGGATGCCACTTACCCTGCTGGCTGGTTCACAGCTGAGGAGCATCCAACAGGGGGTACAAAGATGGGGACTATTCTGAAAGGCAGGATTTGCAAGGGGCAGCTGAAGTCCCTGGGTTTGCTCAGCCCAGAGCAGAGCAGGCTGTGGGGCAGTTTGTGGCAGCTGCAGCTCCTCACAGGAGTGGATGGCAGCGCTGAGCTCTCTCTGGAGCTGTGTCAGGGGAAGGCAGGTGGAGGTGAGGGAAAGGTTCTGCCTCAGAGGGCAGCAGGCATGGCCCTGAGCTGGTCAGAAACGAGACTTGAATTTTGGGTGGTCCTATACGGAACCAGGAGCTGGACTCGATGTTCCTTGTGGGGCCTTTCCAATTCAGAACATTCTCTGATTTTTAATAGATGTGTGGGGCAGGAGGACTCGCCTGGAATACATAGAGAGACAACTACAGCTGTCTGCAGGTAAGGTACAGCCTTACATAGCACCAAAGGGTGCTGCTGATTGAAGTCCATCACCTTGGCTCAGTGTCACAGCAGGCATCAGTTACCCTGCTAAAAGTCTTACACTTTTCAAGAGAACAGAAAGCTCCTGCTGGCATCACCTGAAGCTGAAGGCGCCCGTCACTCCTGGCACCAACACACACACAAAAGCAACATCACAGAATGTGCTGAGGTCTCCTAAGGTAAAAGGTGCCCTCAGGTAAAAGCTGGATGAAGAAAACCTTTTGTATAACACAAGGGCACGGATGGCTATATAAAGTTCACAGTAACTGCCCAGAACTGCACTCAGCGTTGGTCTATTTTTGCTCTGACTCTTCCTGGCCATGACCTGACCAAGTCACATAACCAGTTAAGTCAAATAACACTGAAACACACTGCAGCATTTTTTAAATACAGCTGAATAGGCAATGCCATGTGCTGCAAATACACACATCTGACATTGCTTGCATCTTGGGAATTCAAATCTGGCCCACAGGAGGGTGCTGCTCACCCTGACGCAGCACACAGCTGTCAGCATTTCTTATTACAGCCACATCTCTTCACAAGAAAACCACAGCCTCTTGCACAGAGCACCTAAGATAGAAGGTGGAAGCCATCCATGTGTTGTTAACACCTTTTTCTGTGCCGTGTGTGCTTCTGTGTACCAAACAGTGCAGGGAAAGTTCATACTAGTTACTAGTTTAGGAAACCCAGACTTGCATGCAGCTGTGTTCACCACGTTTACAACAGTGACTGGTGCAGCTGTGAAGAGAAACAGGGAGTAGGTCACTGCTCAGATGTGTGGCTTTTCCTCTTAAAATTTAAAGCTGCAGCATCTGTTAAGGTATCAAGCATACATCTGACAGCAGAAAAGAACATAAATATCTTTTAATGATGGTAAAGACATCATAACTGATAAAGACACCATAACTGATAGAAAATTCTTCTTTTAACAGTCTTCTGCAATGACAATAAGGCACATCAGCATTTTAAAATGGCAGTTGATACAGAACAAGCAGATAGAGAAAATGTAGAGTCAGCAACAGGCAGATGATATAGCCCCAAGTATGTTTTATTGGTAGAATATAAGACGATTGGCAAAACACGACTCCCATCACAGGCTTTGGTCAGTGAGCACAGCACTCCTGAGGAGCTGATGGCAACACATCTCAGGCTGTGCACAAGGCCACGTCTACGTAGCAAACACACACACAGAACAGGCAAAGGCAAGGGGCAGACAGCCTCCCCAGCACTCTAGATTCCAACACCAAACTGGGGGAAGTATCACACCTCATTTATACTGCACTTATAAATAGTAATAAAAAGGCAATCCATTATACACGCTATGCAGCTTTCCAAACTAACTACTTCTGTAAACTGGTCTAGTCAGATGAGTAGTTTTTCCATTCCTGAGGTCCTATTTGTTTAAGCTAACTCCCAAATTTGAAAAAGCTACTCCAGGCAAAATTTTATCTTTTAATTCACTGAGCAATACATTGTCACAAGCAGCATCTTAAAAGCAATCTGAATTTAGAATAATTCAGAAATCATATCCCAGATTATACCATAGTGCCAGAGATGACTGTCAATAACCAGAGGCTGATGAAATCATCGTGTGCTTACCAGGAAGAGTGATGCTTTATCTCTCCTTAAACAAGTTTCAGTTAGATTTATATCACAAAATTTCATTTCTAAAGTCAGAAGTTAGACATTAAAATTTGGACCCAAGTCCAGCAGAATGTTTGGCTTCCCATTATTCTGTGCAGTCCTGAGATTATCTGGGAGCTGGACTAAGAACTGAGTGCTTTCAGACTCAGAATTCAAATATTTTGGGCAGTACACTTCCTCAATGGAGATTTGACTCTCCATCAAATGTTGTAGTGTTCTGTAATGTTGTAGTGTTCACGTTAGAGAAATAGCAACATGCCTTATTTTATCTCTGTGAAATATGATAAAAGGTACTAATTATGCTATAAACTAAATACATATATTAAATATTAATCATTTTACCTAACCAGAGGCAACACTTCTAGCATTACAATCATTTCAAAAGAAAAGGCAAGACTCCAAATGATTTCTACTTCAGAAGAAATTCTATTGAGTCAGTAAAGATCAGGTTCTTTTTCCACATGAGCAGCTGCTCCAACAGAGGCTTACAAACACAACCACCAAGTGCAAGTAATTCTTGGGACTTAACAAAGCTGTTCAAAATGCAAAGGCGCAGAGCCTCATCTGCACTAAAGACATTGCCCCTTTTAGCTATGCCAGCATAGTAGAAGTGCAAATCCCCTCTAATGAGGGCGATTATATCAATATTCCAGATTCACAACCGTATCCTAGCCTGAGACTCAGCAAAGCACAACAAGCATATAGACAAAAGGCACCCTGGATTGCATTAGCAGATGATCTTATCTGCATCACAGCTTCATTAGCTTAGTTAATGCTGTTAAAATAAACTTCAATCACTTAAATAATTTAATCATCTCTCTAAAGCATACGAAAAGAAAAAAAAAACAGAAAGTAACATCCTGAAGAGGAACTATTTGCCCGAAGTGTTTCACACCCAACCAATAGGGCTTCCTCATCTTCAAGTTTCTGTGATCTAGGCCAGCAGTTTGGATCCTGGGGGTGATGACTTCAGTCTCATTAAAAACCTCTTAGAGGCAACACCTGCTAACAGGTATTCAAGCATGCTGGGAGCAGGGAGTTTCAACAGCCTTTGGGTGAAAGATTCAAAGAACGGGACCTGGGGAGATTTGTAGTGTTGCTCCAACAAGGTCTGGGTACAGGAAGTGCAGACCTCGCCAGGCAGGCTTGCACAGCAAGCAAGATGCAGATGTAGTATCTGGCACAGAGCTCACACACAGGCACAAGGATGTGGGCTGCAGCTGGGACCAACTGACTCAAAAACCCAGAACGCTTTCTGCCTGCAATACCTCCTGTCTGCAATTCAGGCCCATCAGCCTGAAGTGATTTCAACATCTCTTGGCACAAGCCAGCAAAATAAGTAGAGCTGAAGGAAACGCCATATTTTTTTACCCCCCCCCCCCCCCCCAAGAGAGAGATCTCCCTGTTCATCGCTGCAACCTGATGAGGAAGGAGTACAGATGTCAGAGCAGCTTTGTGGTCTTTTCTAGGGGAGTCAAGTACAGAATTAGATTAGAAGTATACAAAAACAAATAATCACAAAACCAGAAATCCCATTTAATGCTGAGGATGGGACACTGACTCATGCAGCAGCACCAGACAGGAATGAGGTCCCTGTGTTATTTTTACACTCATGGAAAAAAGGCACATGGCTGTATGTAGTGCCACTGCAGGCCTCCTGCTAGGCTCGTCTGTCTGTCCTGGGAGGCACTGCTGCTTGTACACAAGCCCTTGGTGCAGCCCCAGGTCTGGCTTGGCTCTCCCACAGGAACATGGGGCTGCTCCCCACAGCCCCAAACACGAGTCTGGGGGTACCTCTGCAGTCTTTGCTCAGGAGCTTTGGTCTCACTAGAAGATTTGACACGAAAACTGAATAGCAGCTCATAGGTAATATTAAAATATGTTAAGATTCTATTTACAGTCAATCACATACAGTGCCTTACAAACAAACACAGAAGTATGAAAGAAGGTGAGGAGATGAATTGAAGAGCAATGACCAGAGCTGCAACAACTTGCTAGGAAATCTGGATCACTAAATCACACAGGACCAAAGTTGACAATTGTAATTCTGTAGTGCTACAACATGGAGGAAAGTACAGCAGTAACAGCAGAGTGACACAATCCCAGGCTACAACAAGTGAGAACGAGCTCCGCTGCAAAAACCATAGACACAGAAACAAAAGAAAATCTGCTTACCTTGAGAAGACCTCAGGTAGGCAGGGATCTTCAATCAGATACCCTCCCCTCCACTGCCAACCCTCAAATGAGGCCTGGGAAATGGCAGACCCTGGCTCCATCCCTCCCAGTCATTCAGCTGCATTGTGTGCACCTGAGCTCCCCTGGGTTGGCCCTGCCTTCCCACCAGGTGCTCAATCAGTGGTTCAAGCCATGACTGAGCATTTCCACTACAACGTCATCATAAATCCAAATATAAGTACCACATGCATCACATTTTTAAACCGTTTCCTATTTTTGAAATGGTTTAAAAATTGGTTCTGTGTCAAAACATTTACACAGGTGAAACATTTATTAGTGCAATTGGCACATCAGGAGCTGAAAACTACTGCCTATAGCAGCAAGGAACATAGTCTGACATTTAGCAGGAGACCACTAAAGATACTTCCACAAGCCTTCAGTATAGCTGAGATTGCAAGTGTTAATTTCCATAATGCCACCTTGTTACCGTTAATGAATGTGCTAATGATCTGTTAATTCCTCATTTCGACAGATAATTGCTGAATTAAGACATCTGGGAGCTGCCTTACAGGAGACAACAGGTTTATGCACCTTCCAGGTTGGCCCTGGGCTGCGAAGGCCTCTGCAACAAATGCCACTATTCTGGGTAGCTCAAAGGCAACCATTCCAGGATTCATTCTTTTTGTAGATGACAAATTAAGCTGAAGGGATAAGAGGAGCACTAGATAGTACTGGGTATAGCAGTTTCCCTTCTAAAATCCTGTATGTGTGTTCCACTGTTTATTTAAGTCAGCGGAAGGCTAGAGAGCCCCTTCTAGGATGGAAGCAGCCACTTTGCAAAAGCACAACTGGAGACATAAAGCTGCAAAAGGTGTGTGTACATTTACGTGTGTATATATAGATATCTATGTATACACACGTGTCTGAAATTCCTTTAGGAAACAAATTTTTTAGGGCAACAGTTTTCACTCAGTGGTCCTCAGTGCCTAAATGTGAATTTAGATTATTTCTCAAGGATCCACAAACGTACTGAAGCAAGGCATGCTGCTTGCTCTAGCGGGCCTGAATTCACTTACACTTGTGTCTCCATTAAAAAAAAAAAAAATGCTTTAAAAGAAAAATGCCTGAAAACCCACCATTTTAAGAAATCCCAGTCACGATAAGCTCTAACCTTCAGTTCATGCCAAAGGACTCCCTATTACATTAACTCTCTGCCAACTGGCATTTATTTGTATTCCCTTCCGACCAGGGCTGTATGCTTTTATACAGAGAATAAACTGCAGCCTATAGATATTATCTTAACCAAGAACATCAGAAGTTGTTTTTTTGTTGTTGTTGCTGGCTGGATGCTTTTGCAGTTGCATTTTAATACATTTTTTTTGTCTGTGTTTTGCTTCAAATTCAGTTTGGTGGCTACACTGCCAATTGTGGCTGCACAAACAGCACTGCGGCCAAGCATGATGTGCTCTAGCTAAACATAAATCACCTCAGTCTATCTTTTAGCTGTAATCTAAATTAATTCCTTGAAAATCAATTTATGGCTGTTTTATTGTGCTTTAATGCAAACAAACGCTCAGGTGCTACAAATATGCATCCTTTACAGCTGTAGTACTGCTCCTTGGAATTGATGCAGTTATTCCTCCCTTCTTGGCACAGGTGGAAATAAATTTAAAATTTGAAAAAAAAAGGTGTTTAATAAATACTTTTTATTTTCTTCTTCTGTTATCACTGTGCATGGTCACAAATCCAAAAATCCTCTCCTGGGCAGCATGGATGGGGAGAAGTCATGAGCACAGACAGGAAAAATTCACCCACAGCACCTTCTGCTTTGCTTCCATCCCTGCCCAGGAGGAAGCCTTCAGGACCATCAGAGCAGCTCATTCCCTCTCAGCTGCCCAGCCTGAGGGGCAAAGAGGTGAAAATGAATAGCTGGGGGTAGGCATTTAAAAATGGCACGGGTAATTTTGTTTAGAGTTGAAAGCCGTCCTGTAGCAAGATCCTGGCTGCTGGAGCTGCTCCCTCCTGACAGTGGCCCCCACTTTGATAACACAAACTTGGTCCCTGTAATTACCCAAAGTGCAAAAGGGATTCTTAGCACAGAATAAAAGTTTATGCAGAAAAGAAAAAAAGTCAGCAGTAGCTATTTGGGATTCACCTCCTTGTATAAACGTGCCTTAAGGCTATGAAAGAAAATCATTTGTGTTTTTTGAACACTGCAGAACCTTTAGAATCTCTGATATTTGAAGACTCGCTGTTGCCTTAGTAAGTCCAATTCCTTTTCCATACATGCTAGCGTCCACCCTGCCCACTCCCTAAATGTTTTCATACACTCCTATGATGTCCTAAAAAAATGTAGTAAGTTCACCTAGCATATAAATGTTGCCGGTCCTGGGACTTAACTTCCTTCTGTCTGTTCCTTCTCTTGAGCTCTCAGCTCCTAGACTGAAGCACCGTGTGACATTTCAGCTTTCACTGAAATAAGGGAAAAGTTCCCAATTGCTCAGAAAAATAAAATCATCCTAAATGGAAAATGTATTTCTATTTAGAAAATGTTTCATGATTTACATTGCATGTTCTTACTTTTTTGATTCCTGACTCATTTTTGAATGATTAAAGATGAGCTTATTGTCATATACAACACCTTTTCCCTCTTAAAAGCTGTCAAGAAACTGCAGTTCAGACTATAAACTCCCCTGGCAGTTAGTAAAAAAAAAAAGTTCATCTTTCAATTATGCTTTCATAATTGTATTCTGTTGCTGTAAGAACAGAGAACGTCTTCCTACCCAGTGCCTTTATTTCGACATGAACAATAGGGACTCTTCACTGTTCTGCATAACTTAAAAGCAAAGTACAAAGTTTTATTTACACTAAGGTGGTGAAGAGCTTTCAGCTGATTTCTTTCTGGCTCTTTTTCTGATTACCTCTCTTCTTGGCCAACACCTCCATTACAGAAGGCCCATGACTGAGCATATGTAAAGGATTTATGGTCAATAAAACCTGCATTCACACAGGAAGTCTGCATGGCACAGGCAGATTTGGCCTGGATAATCTGTTGGGCCCTTTTCATTCTGATGTCTGTGGTTCTGTCAGTTTTGCAAGTAAAACTGGCTTGTACTGTGTTGCAACCCATGAATTAGAGATCTTTCATATCTAATGTTCACAATCCTAACGCACTCCTAATTACTAACAAAACAAGCAATTGACCGTAAGTATGAATCAGACTTCTAAGCAATCGTGTCCAAATAAAAATATTTCCAGAGAGATTATCCAAAGAGATTCGAGCAAAAGAGCAATCTTTCCTGGCGTGTAAGGGGCTGCACAGAAATTAGATAACCGTGCCCCTGCTCATCTGGCTGCATTTGGCTGTCAACACATGATGACAAAGCAACGTCCAGAGGTGACAGGTAAGTTATAAGCTGTGCATTAAGACTTTTCTGTTACATGATTTTTTTCTTTATCTATCTGTCCTAATACGACTAACCAATCACAACTTGATAAAAACCAGAGTAAACAGTACCTGTCAGTCATTCCTTAAAAATAAAAGGCTGTGATGATATGAAAAAGCAATTTCTCAACAAGGAACGAGAAATGAGTTGCCTTGTAGCATTCGTCTAGATGGGTTGCCTAGAATGCTTCTAAAGCCTGTCTCATCCAGAAAGACCTCCATGCTGATCATCAAAACAGAAGAGAACCAAGAAAAGGAAAGTTGATGGCAGAAGAGAAATGAGATGAATGTTCATATGAAACTCTTTGGTTCGTATACAGATGATGAAAAACTTCAGAGTTGCATTCACTCAGTACCATACATAAAGCAATGCTCATTTTTTTCCAGGCTTTGTTCCAACTCATTGCCTTCCCACAACTAGTTCTTAGAAGCACAGGTCCTGCTGTGCTCCTGTGCACCCAGTGCAAAGTCCACGGCCTGATGCACGCTGTGGAAGAGAAGATGGTCCTCCCCCTCTTTGAAGAATTCTCCCCGCATTAGGGAACTCCTCACCGAAGGATTGCACTGTGCCAGTAGCACCCGGACATCTATCTCACTGTAGTCCTTGCAGACCTCTTTGAGCGTGCGTATTCCTGCTGTGTCCAGAAACTGGACTGCACAGCAGTCAATCACTATCGTGTGAAACCCCAACGGCTCAGACACAAGCTCCATGGAAACATTGGTCTGGTTGCCACCAGAACCCGCTTCCTTCTCTCTAAGCAATCTTTTTGCTGCCTTTTTCTTCGCTGCCTTCACCAAGGCTGGGTTGACTCCAGTTTGCTTGTACAGCGCGGATTTGAAGCACTCTTTGTTGATGTAGTAGAGGGGTGCTTCAAAACGCAACACCACAACTCCTGGCTTCGTTTCTAAGTTCTTATAAGCAGACAGGGACTCATAGGTTTCAGACTCTGCCACCCAGCCAAGCAATGGTGCCTCTGGTTTCTGAGTTCGAAAAATGACACAGAGCATAGAGAAGCAAACACCAATCAAAAGACCAATCTCAGTACTGATGAGTGCTGAGGACGCCATAGTAACGAGCCAGATCACCGTGTCCACCCTGCTCAAATGCCACATTTTTGGCAGATCCCTGAACTTTCGCAGGGCACCTCTGAGGTTTACAATGGTTATGACAGCAAGGACACATTTCTGAAGGGAATAAAACAAAGGTGCAATCACAAGGAGGACTACTAGGATTAACAAACTAGTCACAATGCCAGAAACCTGTGTTCTACAGCCTGTTGACTCTTTAATAAGAGTCTTAGCAAGAGCTGCACTTGTTGTGAAGCAATGGAAGAAAGAGGGAATGATGTTGCAGAAGCCAATGGCATACATTTCCTGGTTGGCCTTCACGGTGTAACCATGCTTCTTGGCAAACATCTCTGAGAGGGAAACAGTGATGGCAAACCCAATGACAGCAATGGGGATAGCATCCAATGCCACGTTAGGAATCAGGTTCCAGTCAGGAGGGCTGGGTGGCAGAAAGCCAGTTGGGATGTGCCCAGCAACACTTGAGCCGTAGGTTTCTTTCAGCTTCCCTAAGTGAGATGCCAGAGTAGCTGCCACAACCACAACTAATTCAACTGGAATTGGAGCCTTGAGCCTGGATTTAAAATGTTCATTAAGCTCCTTAGTCGGGATAAGAACAAGAAAGCACAAAAAGCTGGTGATGACATCACACATGTTAGTCTTGTGTATGTTTCTGAAGATGTTTATCCACGTGGTTATGAGGGAGCCGACGCCACTGCTCCGTGGAATGTCCAGACCCAGGAGGTACTTGGCTTGTGATGTCAGGATGGTAAAGGAGGCACCCGTGACAAATCCGCTGAGCAATGAATCGGAGAGGTACACTGAGACAAAGCCCACTTGAAAGAAACCCATGGCCACCTGCAAGGAATCAACCACATACAAGAGATTAGGAATCAAACTTTGTAGATGTCATCATCGTGGGGATCTGGAAAAAAGTGGGTAAGAAACATGGCCTTGGAGGACAAGGCATGGTCTCAGCATGAAAAAGACAGTCTCCAGTACTCAGCTGCTCCTTGTGCACCACGCTTAAATGAAATGCACTTCCAACACAGAGCAGGCTTTTTTAGTGGTCACAGAGGCCTCCGTGCTCTGAACCCATGCTTATTGTTGGCTCACTGGGTTCAGAAAAAAGGGTCCCAAGAAAAAAAAACACATTTGGAATACTAGTTACTTTTACCATTTCTATCTCAATTTCTTTCAATCTCTGTGAACTTTGCAGAGATCCAAAATGTATGCTTTTGTATGTCTCATGCAATAAAATATGACAACCTGCAATAAAAATACAGCTTATGATCTAACAGCTGCCCTTTGCACTTCATAAAGCTTGCTGCATCCAACTTGGAAAGTATATGAGCTTCAAACTCTTGTGATGCAGATTACATAAATAGAGATAAACTTTTGAAGTGCCTTGGCATTAATTTTTATTAATGCTAGCTGAATGGAGAAATCCTTGGTGTTCTCCCACAGGAGATCTACCCTAACCATGTGAAGGGAGATGTCCCTTCTTTCCCAGCAAGCTTCATGTTAAACGGAGCTAAAATGTCTCCTTTTCTTTTCCTCTACACTTTGGTGAGCTATCACTGTGAATGTCACTGTAGGAAGAAATGAATGTGAACTCACGAACTTAAATATCACAGTTCTGAAGTACAGTTAAAACTAAATCCATTCTGGTTAATGCATGACAGTCTAAAAACAAAGATATCTGCTTTAATTTCAGCAAGCATTGAATTCTACAATCTAAGCAGAGACAGAAGAGTAAAATATTAATAAATAACATATTTTAATATGGTAGTAACTAAAAGCTTCATTTCAAAACTGCTTTATTATCTCAGTAGTACCCTCTTCATATAGAATCATAGAATGGCCTGGGTTGAAAAGAACCACCATGCTCATCTAGTTTCAACCTCCTGCTGTGTGTGCAGGGTCACCAACCAGCAGACCAGGCTGCCCAGAGCCACATCCAGCCTGGCCTTGAATGCCTCCAGGGATGGGGCATCCACAGCCTCCTTGGGCAACCTGTTCCAGTGCATCACCATCCTCTGTGTGAAAAACTTCCTCCTAATATTTAACCTAAACCTCCCCTCTCTGAGTTTAAAACCATTTCCCCTTGTCCTATTACTATCCATCCTTGTAATATGCAGTGGCATTGATTTGGCTTTGAATGGGCAAACAACAAAGCTTCACAAAAAAAGCTTAGAGATAAATAAAAAGAATCTGGAAATGCTTTATTGTTCAGGTTTGGTTTCTTTTCTTTTCGTTTTTTTTTTTTGTTGTTGTTGTTTTTTAATAAATGCAAGTGACTCAAGCCTGGAATTAATAGTTAACATGCCACATTTTGGCCCACTGAAATTGAGCCCTAAGATATAAGTCAGAAAATACAAGTTTTAGAGCAGAGCAAGGAAGGCAGTGTGCAGATCAGTGTGAGAGTAGCAATGTTCCACACAGGTCCTTGCAGTCATCAGCAAGCTAACAAAGCAAGTACAAAATGCCATCCAAACAAAAAGGAGAGCACAGAGGAGTTTCTTGTGCCACAGTAACTGACAACATCCAGTCCTGCTTAAATCCATTTGCCCGAGATGCAAAGGACATGTGCAACCCCAACAAACTGCCCATATGAACAACCACATACAGAATTAAAACTATTTCCACAGAATACTTGTCTACTTCCTCTTACCTGATAAACTCCAGCTATGAAGGTCATGGTGGCTCCCACTTTTATTGCATAGCAGGTTTTATCACAGAGCAGCTTCTGTAATGTCTGGTTCACAGGTGCAATGGTGGAGTTCACATGCATTGCTGTATCCATGTGGTCACTAAGAGCAGCTGGCTCCAACTCATAGCCAGCTCTCAGCACCTCACGATCCACCACTTGTCCCACCATCAGGCAAAGTGCACCAAAGATACCAACAGAGATGTGGCGAGATGTTCCAAATATGCAATAAATAATGCCTGCAAAGAAGGATGTATAAAGGCCATAAATAGGCTCCTGTCCAGCCAAGAGAGAATAAGCAATTGACTGTGGGACTAGCAAGACCCCCACAATCACACCAGACATTATATCTCCCAGTAAGCACTCTTTTAGATTGTATTTAGGAAGCCACTGCAAGATGGGAAAGAAACTCAAAACACAGTCTTTAACTTTGGCTGGAGTGCAGCTGCAAGTTTTCTTCACTTGTTTAACCATCAGAGCCTTCAGGTTCCTCTTCTCCTCCTGAGGTTCCAAAAACATTCTGTGATAGAAGCCACGTTTAGCTTCAGCTTCTTCTGGCATTTCAGACACCGACTGAACATTGTTGAATTCTGCCATGGCTGTCATCTCAAGGGCTCCCTAGCAACAGAAAGAAAGACTGCTTTATTAAACCATAAGTGAACGTGTCAGATCGGAATTCCTAACGGAGCTGGTTCAGAGGCTATGAAAAGCAAGGGCTAGTAGTCTTGGTTTAGCAGAGAAAGCAAGTTCCAATTAAACATGGAAAGAGTCTCCCCATTACATCCTTGTTAAACAAGGAATCAGCTTTCTAAGAAAGAAGCTGATATCCTGTAGAATAAACCTGCTGCTGCTGAAGTTGTGAAATGGAAAAGAATGCAAGAGCACCGTCTCCCAGAGAAGTTTCCTTGACTAAATTGCTGTTTGCAGACCGCTCCACTGCAGAAGGACAGGCACAGGGTTTGTTGTGGTCCAACAGTCACTTCAATCCAGTTGCTGAAAATTAACTACAATTAGTGTATTTCTCACACTGCACAGCTTGGTCTAAACTTCTTTTATATGTACATTCACAGAATCACAGAATGGCCAGGGTTGGAAGGGACCTCATGGATCGTGAATCTCCAACCCCCTGCCACAGGCCGGGCCACCAACCTCCCCATTTAATACCAGACCTGGCTGCCCAGGGCCCCATCCAACCTGGCCTTGAACACCTCCAGGGATGGACGGGGCATCCACAGCCTCTCTGGGAAGCTGTTCCAGCACCTCACACTCTCATAGGAAAGAATTTCCCCCTGACATCCAACCTGAATCTTCCCTCCCTCAACTTCAAACCATTTCCCCTTGTCCTGCTGTTATCTACCCTTTCAAAGAGTTGATTCCCCTCCTGTTTGTAGGCTCCCTTTAGGTACTGAAAGGCTGCAATGAGCTCACGTTCCATAAAACAAGTATTCTTCATGCACCAATTACTCCTGCAAACACCGTAAAGATTTGCTTCCTAATAAGAAGTCTTTATTGACTTTATATGACTTTATTTCACCCAAAGATACAATGGCAAAATGCTCTTTGTAACTTTTAGAAGTTGGTTTTGAAGTAAACTACATCTAGCTAAAAGAGCACAAACAAAAGGAAGGCAAGTTAAGGGGGACAACGTAAAGTAAGCAGCATATTTCTGCCAGAACACGTGCTTTTCACAGCCTCTGAACCACGTGCTCTAACACAGGCTATGTACATCCAGTAAAACTAGGCAGGTATCCGTATGTGGGGCAGCCATGCAGCAGTTTACAATAGCCATGTCTCTGACCAACCAGGCTATCTAAAGTCAACACACTGCCTAACGTGGATAGACTGCCAACAGGAAATACCAGAGGCAGGGGCTGGTGTTTTAGCCTCAAAAGATGCTTTCATTCACTATAGCACCTCTGTGGTGGCTAAGCTCCTGCTTCTCACAGAGAACTCAACACAGCTCACTTCTGGTAGCCAGCTGCTATACTGCTGCTGAAAGGCTGCTGTGCTCTGAGCAGAGACCTTCCTGGCTCCAAATCCACAAATAACCCCACTGCACCAATGCCAGCCCCACCTGAATGCCACGTGGGGGCTGCAGGGCACTATTTGGATCTACATACCAGAAAGAAGACTTAGCACGGCAGCCAAGAACATGACTCTTCGTGGCCACAGTTCTGAGTGCAGGCTGAGGAACAGCCCTGGAAAATTCATGTTCCAATGGGAAAAAAAAAAAAAAAGAAAAAAAATATGAAGCTTAATGCACTGCTGTGTTAGGTGAGCCCTAAGTGGAAAATTCCAGTTTGAACTCAAGTCTTCTTTCTGGTATCTGTGTCCTTTTATAGAGTCTGGCCCTTGTAACTTCAAAAGCTAAGTTCTGGATCGAAAGATTACTCCACCCAGAACTGTGATATTTATATTTTTAGGGATAACATTACAAACGTATTTATTTGTCACCATATTTGCTTTCCTTGTTTAAGATAATCCTCTAGACAATAGACAGAATAGACAATAGACAGAAAGAGAACAAAGGTTCCGCTTTGCCTGTGTGTGTTCTTAATCGTTCCAAACCTCTATCTCAAAGCCTCCTAGCCATGCAGAATTACTGTACCACAAGCCTATACACACACAATGACAAACGTCCCTTGGCTAACAGCTGTCAGCACAGTATCCTCAATGTATTTTAGAATGATTATAGGCTTAGAAAATCTTATGAAGAATTAAGAGTATTTACTTCCTAATGAGGACACCTGCAGTACAAGGTGTGAATGACTCAGGATGATGCAGGGATCGTGCTCCCAGGAGAATGCAGACTCCCAGCACTCATCCTCACAATCCAGATATCTAATCTCACCCACCCACATTGCAAAGTCCACTAGGGAATTATTTATAGCACATACAAGAAAAGCAAATGCTGCCCAGTGAGAATACAGCGAATTCGGTGCACAAAAGCACGTGTGTGAAGCACACAGCACAAGCACATTCCATACTTGTATTTGCTCGAGAGGTTTTATTCATTTCACAAGCACAGAGTAAGAAATTAATAAGCTTTCATCCACTGCTGAGCAAATCAATACTGCAAAATGTGGGGGGAAAATTCACCTCCAATTTTTTGTGTGAAGCTACTTAGATCAGTTAATTTTCTCAGACTTCAGCAATGAGAACCCTTGCGGCTCCTCTCTCCTCACCCAGGGCTCTCAGACAGGTCACTGAAGCCTGAGAATGTTTCTTGAACGGTCAGAAACTCAAACATGAAACGCAGACAGCTCAGTTCAGCTCTGTGCAGTGTCATAAAACGCCTGTGCAGTGGATGGTACCTGGGTTGTGCTTCCACAGCACAAAACTGTTCTAAGCAAAAATCTTTTTGCCTGCTGAACTCTGAGCACATAGGGGATCTTTGTGCTCACCTGCACAACAGCTTTCTGTCCGTGGCAAGAAAAGGCCCTTTCACCACACAGCCCCAGCCTCTAACCGTGGCAGGACACAAGGAAGTGACACACCATTTTCAACACCCATTTCACCCTTTTCTGCCTGAAAGTGTTGCTTTGTATTACTTTTGTAACCACGTAGCCCAACTACACCGAGTACAACTAGATTTTCGTTTCCAAAAAGAAAAATTGTTGCTTCAGTATACTGCTACAGTTAACCTAGAAAAGAAGCTGCTATGCGTCACCATTTTCGTGAAGTTATTTGTATGCCTGTAATCCACTTTTATCAGCTCCTTTTGGCCCAAGTAAGATCTTCTGATTGCCACAAGGAACTGAGAACACAACACAGACTTGTGGAAACTTCCGGTATCTGTCCTGTTATCAAGTGGCTGCCATAAAATCGAGACACTGGAGGTATCACACTCCTGAGATCTGATGACTTTTGCAGATTATGTCTGGGTCCCACCCGGCGCTCTGTTACTGATCCCCCGCCACCTACAGGCAAGGCACCATCTGCCCAATGCTGGAAGCACTGCTGGCTGCACCTCCACGCATCCATCCCAGAACACAGACACCCAAACAGCAAGAGAATAACGGGCTGCAAAGCTCATTCAAGGGCTGAGATAACACATGACAAGCTAAAACTTAGACCCGAGCGATAAAGAATAGAAACTAAATTAAAAAAGAAGTGTCAGCTCTATGACACCGATGTCAGCTTTCCAGATTACTTCTCTCAGTTTCACTCGCACGTTTATCCACCTCATACTACCACCACCCAGGCTCACCGCACCCACCTGCCGGACACGAGAAGTTTCAGGCACGCACTCAAAAACTGGTGTATGAACACACTGTGAAGAGATGTAGAAGAGAAGCAGGTGAAGCAGAAATCCAAGTTCTGCAAGAAGCGGTTCTATAGAATCGTAGAACCACCAAGGCTGGAAAGACAACTAAGATCATTAGTCCAACTCTCTCAGCCTTCTCTGGGCGCGCTCCAGGAGCTCACCGCCCCTCTTCCAGCACGGGGCCCCGGACGCAGCGCTGCAGGCACGGAGGAAGTGCGGCCCGAGGCCGGCCCAGGGCTGCGCGCTGCGCGAGAGGCGGGCGCCGTGCTGCGGGGAGGGGAACGCGCCGGAGCACGAAACGCACGCACTTTTTATACTCCTGAAACCGCAGTGTTCGCGGAGAGCGTATCGGTTAGAGAGCCAGCAGGCGCTGAAGTATCCAGGATAATGAAATGGATCGGTTTATGTAAATCCAGTGCCACCCTCTGGATCCGAACGGCGCTTCCCCTCCGAGCAGCTCACTTCGCTCCGGCGCTCCCCCCCCCAGCTCACGCCGCGTGCTCTCCTCTCGGCTTCGCCACTTTCGTTCTTTTCTTTCCTGCCGGTTCGAAACACCGCAATCGAAGACCCTCCACAAAACGGGCTGCGGAACGCCGAGCCCAGCGCAGAGCCGCGCTGGCAGCGAGCTCCTCTTCGACCGCCCCGCTCCGCCCGGCTCTGCCCGCCGCCCCCTCACCACGGCGTGCGGCTGGCGGCCGCGGCTCCGGAGGCTGCAGGCGGCCCGGCAGCTCCCGCCTCCCCGCCCGACCCGGAGCCGCCCCCGCCGCGCCTCCCGCGGCCGCCGGAGGAAGCCCGCAGCCGGCCCAGCGCGGAGGGACGGACGTGCCCCGCCTCGCAGCCCCGCGCTGCCTCCTGGCAGCCCCCGGTGCCGCTGCGAGATCTTGTTCGTGAGAAACAGCAACGGGAAGCGGGGCCCGGCGGCCCTCACTCTGCCTGTGCCTTCGCCGTCAGTGCGTGGAGTGAAAAATGTGTCTGCTCTCACTTAATTGGCTTTTTTTTTTTTTTTCCCCCATGCAAAGGCTCTAGTAATGCTTCAGTTTTTACTTTCTAATTCGTTCCATGTGTGTTCTGAACTGCCAGTGGCCTGACAAAGCCTCGTGCAGAGTTCCTCATTGTAATCCTCTCCACAAAAAGAGCAGCCCAAAAAACTGAAGAGACAGCTAACCAGAAGAACTCCAGTGAATAACCTCTGTTTTTGCTAATTGAGCCTCTCCAACTTTTAAATTCAAACATTAATAATCTGTTGGTAATAATAAGCAAAATGACCTGAACTTTCCATGGCTATCCATAACCATAGTTATTGATACCATACCAATTTGTTACAGAATCACAGAATTGTTTGAGTTGGAAGGGATCCTTAAAGGCCACCTGGTCCAACGCCCTGCAATGAACAGGGACACCACAGCTCCATCAGTGCTCAGAGCCCCTCCAGCCTGACCTCGGGTGTCTGCAGGGATGGGGCACCTCTGGGTAACCTGCGCCGATGTCTGACCACTCTTATTGTAAGGAATTTCTTCCTTATATCCAATCTAAATCTTCCTCTTCTAGTTTGAAACCATTTCCCCCTGTCCTATCACAACAGACCCTGCTAAGAAGTCTGTCTCCTCCTTTCCCTTAGCCCCCCTTTACACACTGACTCAGCTTTGGGGTGCCACTGATACTCGTCACAGTGTTTCAAGTTCTTTGGTTCAGTATCCAGATCTGTCTGGGAAGCAAGTCCAGCTGTGAAGAGCATGGACTCTCTGACTGTTCCTTACTGCAAGAGCTCAGTACTTTTTTCTTCCCATGGACTAGGGGGTCATGGTCATAGTAGCTGAACTCGTTTCCCTTCCCTTCCCTGTTTGTACTGAAGAGCACACGTTATCTGAAATCGAACATTGCCTAATATTTGCATTTCATGTGGAACCTTGAGCTGCCGAACAGCACGTCAGTATATGAATGGAGAAAGCAGTGCTAAAGATCTTGTATTTAAGAGCTGTCATTCTGTGGAAATACAGAGTACTCCAAATATGTCAGATTCACCTTGCCACAAGGCTTCAACTGGAAGTGATGGTAACTGGAAGATGCAAGTTACAAGGGAAAAGCAAGAGCAACCTTCCTCTCCCCTTGCTATCTGCTGTCAGAATCGGCAGCAGCTCTAACTTCCCCATCCTTATAGGGATTTGCACTGGAGTTTTACTGGAGCTTAATATATGGTGACAGCAATACTATCAGAGTGAAACCTTGTGAGGACTGACATTTATTATAAAAGTACAAAGAGACAGCCTTTGTGCAGGAACTCTGTAGAAACCTAATGCCACAAAGCAAAGAAACGGACTCAGAGTCTTTTCATTGTCTTTCTGGCGGTGCTGGCTGTAGAGCAGCTTGGATCATCAAACACATCGTGTCATCTTCAGAGCAATAGGAAAAGAGTATCTTCATGGGCACAAATAAAGAAGGTGAGATTAAAGAAAAAAATCCCAAGCAATTTTTTTTCAGAATCACCACTATTGTTAAGGGTTTTTTTTCCCCCTTTTGGTGTACATGAGCTACTGTTAGATTGCTGTTTGTTTGTTTGTTTGTTTTGGTTTGGTTTTTGTTTGTTTGTTTGTTTGTTTTTGTTTTGTTTTTGCTGCTGTAGATTGATTTTCTAAAAAGTGGGGGAAAATCCAACTAAATATTTAAGATGAGTAAATCATTTAACTTCCAATTACTTTCCTTTTCCTAAGGTATATTAAGTTTTATGGTTAATGCATTTCTATGTGCAGGGAACCTCTGACCTTGGAGAAGTCTGGCTGGGTTTCTCATGCTAAGGAATCTCTTGCCAAAGAGCCTGACCTGAGGCTTGTTGATGCACAAATGCTGACACGTGCCACCTCCCCATCCTGCTTAGTCTACAAGTCAAACCTGCTGCCTCTGTTTGCCCAGATTTCGCCATCGCTTTTATGATTGTGAATCTTCAGAGAGCAGTTCATTGACCTACAAAACAACATTGTTCAACAGCTCCAGTGTGGGACAGCTGGGCGTAGTGAAAGCCACTAGAAACATGTCTTCTTCCTTGTCCTTCCTTCCGTGTTACAACTTGTCATTTAACAGACCACGGGCTCGGATTTGCAGAACGTTGCATGGAATTCGCAGATGGAGAAGATGAGCACTGCTTCATTTGCTGCACAGGGAGTTGTGTCTCTATCAGCTTATTGGACCTTGTGCAAACCTGCCTCCACGTGCAAGCAGCTTGTCTGATCACCCAGAGGAGAAGGAAGACAGGCATTTCTTGAGAGAGCCCAGCCAGGGTAAGGGAGACAGCTGTCACCCACCCAGCTACACTCTGCTTTCATTCCACCCTCACTGCACACAGCCATGCTGCTGGTATTATAGCAAATGGTACTAGGCAATGTAAAGGAAAATAAGGACAAAACAGAAATAACGTTAAGCTGTCCTGACTTCTTCAGTGTGAGCAATCCAGGGACTTGGAACAACCTTCTGCAGGACGTCTTGACATCTCCTGTGTGGAAATCCAAGTGGTGCTCCGGGGCTGGAGCTAAGCTGCTGGTTGGAGCAGACCTGGTGCCAGGCATGTAAAGGCCTAGATGTGGTGTGTCCTACTTGCTTAGAAAGCCCATCAAAGTAAGTAGCAGAAAGATGTGTGTTCTAGCTTTTGAAATGCATTTTTTAAAATTTATTTGATTATAAATTCAGCCACGTGCTTGGCAAGAGCAAAAAGGAGCTGTAAAGTCAGCTACTTCACTCTCAAAAATTTCCAAAGATGAGACAAAGGCCAAATAAAAATGGCGCGGATGGAGGGAAGGGAGCATGATAGATATTGGAAGTTGTAATTAATCAGACTCTTTAAGTAATCAAAATACTTAAGCCATAAAGATATAAAAAAGAAGTTAGCTCTGTCCGTATCTCTGGACTATATCTCTACAGTTATATTGTTATTAAGAGAGATTGCTCTGTACTAATAGTTGTACAGAAATGCTGGGCTCTCAGTGAATGCCAGAGTCCAATATGGTCTCCCAGAATAAAAAACTAAATGAGTGTTATATTTTTTAGTGTTTCTGTGGGATACAAGGCTTAGTTACTTACTGGACTCCACTGTGCTTTCTTACATTCCTTTCATTGTCTTTCACTTCTCTTTGCTTCCTCAAGGCTAATCTGTGGGATATTAAAAATGTGACTAGTGTCAAATTCAGAGAAGTTCATCTCTGCTAATCTTACAAGTCAAATCCATTGGTACATAACCTGCACCATCAGCTTTGTGTCTAACCCAGAAAATCCGCATTCCTGAATATTTATTTTCATCCAAAAGCTTTGTGAGCCTATGAAAGTATTGAAAAATATGTTTTCTCCAATCTGAATGAAATGAAATTATTAATTTTGCCATTTGCAGCAGTTATAAAGTTCTCATCTGGCAGTGACACGCTGCCCAGGGAGGTGCTGGGATCACCATCCCTGGAGGTGCTCAAGAACCATGGAGGTATGGTACTGAGGGATGTGGTTACTGGGCACAGGGGTATGAGTTGATAGTTGGACCTGATGATCTTAGAGGTCTTCTCCTACCATGATGATTCTGTGTTCACATTAATTTAGCCTATAATAAAGCCACCTTCTTCTGCTCTGTTTTGGCACGTGCTACAGATTCGAGTATGGTAAATCTAGTAGTGAAGAACTACATGAACTTTTCAATTCAAGTGCTATGCAAGTTCTATTCAGGTAATTATTGCCTTCTGATTGCTATCTAATACATATTTTATATATATATATATACACACATACACACACACATTTTTAATATTTATTTATTTATTTATTTATTTATTTATTTATTTATAAAATACATCTCCTAAGACACAGGAAGATATGTTTGTAACACAGGTTCACACCAAGGAAATACTAAACTGGTATTTCACAGTGGGATATGGAGGTGCTGACATTTGCTAAGCGTAGCCAACTGAAGAGATGCAGTGAGATGGGGAGAGGGGATCTACTCAAAATACCTTGCTGAATAACCTCTCACTCTGTACTGATTTGCAGCAGCACTGAGCTGCAATTGCTGGTCGTGGCTCCTTTGCTTGGGGTGAAAGCAGTAACTACCTGGCAGTCAGAGAGCAGCCAAGGTAATAAAAGCACTGAGGGACTGGCTCATTGCTTTTGCTTCATTTTAGTGGTTGTAAGTAGCTGTCCTTTATGTCCTGCTGGCTTGCAGTGGTAGGGAACATTTGCAAAGTCACCTTGAGCTACTGCTGAGCTCCCAAAATTTGGCCATGCAGTTTCTGTTACGCTGACAGCAGAAGCATGCAGCAGAGCAAAGGCTGCAGATCCACAGCAGTTTTGCAGTCCATTTAAATCTGGAAAGGAGATGTTCCTGCCTTGATCGTTTTTAATCCCTGCAATTAAGTCCCTCCAGTCCAGATAACTCAAAAAAAAAAATGCAGCAGTGATAACCATCAGGAGCTGTGCTGGGAGCAGTGGTGCTTGTGTAATGTTTGCTGCCCACCTCACTGAGTATGCAGTGCTCCCAGGCATGGCCCAGCTGTGGAGACAGCTCCGTGCCTAAGTTCTCCACTTCCCAGATTTCAGAAGAAGCAAAAGAAAACAATGCCATGGAAATAACAGAGGGGAAGGCTCTTAACGTACAGACGTTAGCACTGTTCCTACAACAGCAACTTACTGAGAAGACCAGGTGCATTTGCTGATCACCTTTCCAAAACTCATTTGTGATGCTGAGTTTCATTACATACATGAAGTTTTTTTGTTTGGTTGGTTTTGTTTTAATGGTAAGTGTTCTTATTTAAGTGATTCATCTTGTGCAAATTCACCAGGCAAAGACTCTTCATTTTCCTGGAAGCGCTGAGGACACCATATATAATTTTTAAATGCTCAAAATAGAGGCCAGCAGCCACAGAGACCAAGGAATGTGAAATTGGAGTGTGAAAGCAGAAACACCAGCCACACAAAATGCAACATGCACTTCTACCTATACTGGGAAAGGGAGTGGAGATCAGCAATTTCATTGCACACCCCATCAGCACGCAGTCCTCACATGGTAAACCACTGATTTCAATCATCTCTCTGTCACGTCAAAAGGAGAGGACACTAACAGAAGGTTCTGCATTAGGATCAGGCCTTTTTCAGTCTTTTCATATAGCGATAGATGACCACGGTATTTTGCATGGCTCTTTGAGAAGTCTGTACAACTGTTTAATGTGTCTTGGAGGATGTAACACAACAGAAAGCATGGCAATGACAGCAAAGTCCTAGGCTGCAACAAGCAAGGATTTGCTGAAACTCAACAGCCATGGGCACAGAAATAAAGAAAAGAAGCTACTTACTTTCAGAAGGCCTCCAGTAGGCAGGGATCTCCAGCAAGATGCCCTCACCTCCACTGCCTAACCTTAAATGAGGTCTGGGAAGGGTTGGATCCTGGCTCCACCCCTTCAGGTCATTCAGATGCATTGCATGCACCTGAGCTCCACCGGGCTGGCCCTGCCTTCCCACCAGGTGCTCAATCACTGCTTCAGGACATGACTTAGCATTTCCACTACAGAGGCTGACTAAGCTACTCATACAAAGATAATTACATCTTTGCTATAACGATCACTTGTGTTACGTGTGGTTATCCAAATATGTGCCATGGTCCTGAACAGCTTTCTACTGCAGCCATCCACAAGCAGTGCTCCCAACAATTAATCCCCAATGATGGTGTGAAATCAAACGGCCTTTCTTGTTTATATCTACAGCTCTTTATTTGGTTATGCTACCATAAGATGACAACCAAGTCACTTCAATTAATAGGACACAAGAAACATTAGTGCTACAAGACGATGTACTTGGAGATTTTCTTAAGTTCATGTTAATACTTGACACTTCTTCTCAAAATTTACATTGCTATAGAATTGCTTTTAATAGGAAGTTCATATGGAAGACCAAGACACAACGGCAACGTGGAATTAAAGAACATTTTGGACAACCTTTAGCTTCTTTTTCTCTGTGTTCTGAGCTTTTTGGCATATCCCTTTCTTCCAGGAATATGTTACCATTCACTTTGTTCACATCTTCATCCTTTCAGTTGGTATTATACTGTAGAAATAGATAAGATGGAAAAGATTCACACAGTAATAATAACTGTAATACTGTAATAATCTAAGGCTGGCTCTGTTAAAGCCAAAGCAGCCATATTGTTAAGCTGAGCTGTGTAATTTAAACTCTATTGAATAGCTTACTTGAACCACCTACCTCTTGTGCTCTCCATCAATTCCAGTTAATGAAATTTATGGCTTCATTTTCGTTTCATTTTCCCAAATTTGTCTGGTAAAACAAACAGATCTGCAGTTAGGACAAGACAGCACTGTTTTCAATCCTCTACATCCCTTCCAAAGTGAAATTTTATCATCAATCTATCCATTAGAAATGCTTGTCAGCATGGAATCTCTTCCCCTCCAAAACTCAAAAAGTGGTGAAGAAAGTGTCACTTCTTTGAATTTAAAAAACAAAGAAACAGAACAAAACTTATTTTGTAAAATGAACTTTAGTAGCAGAAAAGCAACGATTAAATCTTTCAACTAACTTGTAAATAAGTTTTCCTCAGAAAAAAATTTATAGGAAAAACACCACTTCCTACCCAGCAGAAGACTGTTTCAGCATTACTGATATCTGAAAAGCAATACTGTTTACAGATTTAATATCTCCTGCAGCATCTGAATTTGTCTCTGGATGTTTTCAGGCACTGGGCTTGCTCAGAGGGAACTCTTCTTTGGTCTTTCCCAGGGGCAGGCTCAGACTGAGACACAAAACCTGCCTCTCCCTCAAGCTCAAGATAAATAATTTCTCTGTCAAGTTTCCACAGATTTCTGCAGATTTTGTGAACTGTGCCCAGAGGCTGCACTTCTGCTGGTCTCACCTCTCTCATGGAGAGGAGAAACATACAACAAAATGTTGCTGACACTTTTAGGTGAGATATTTTCTCTGCAAGATGCACAGCCCCATGCCAGCCTCCCGAGGAACAGCGAGTATTTTTGAACACTTACCATTTGAACTGCTACCAGCAGCTGGATCCTCACTGTAAAGAGACAGCAGTGAATGTTAGTGCCTCATAAAACATAGATCACATCTTGGAAATAATAAGACAGTGACGTTAATAGATCTGACCCCCCTATTTTGAGATAAATGACGATTTCCACATATATGTCCAACCTACTAGTTTTCTGGTTCCGTTGCCATCTTTTGTTTAATGTTTTAATTAAAAAATATATTTTAAAAAGTTCTTAACTATATTATATATTTTATATGCGGCCCAAGACAATTCCTCTTCACTTAATGCAGCCGGGGCACAGCAAAAGGTTGGATGTCCATGTCTAGGATCTGCTTGGCTCTTCCTGAGAGCAAAGCACAGGGCCAGAAGATGTACAGGCCTTAAATCTGCTGCAGAATTATTTCATAAATAAAGAAAAGGATTTACCTGTTCCACTTAATCTGGTTAGTGAGTAGTCCTAGGAAAGATTGAGAAGAATGTTTTACAAAGTTGGCAATGCATTCAAGTCTGTGACTTGGCACTGTGCGCTTGGGACCATAGGCAGGGATAAACTCAGTGGGAAGGAGGGTGGGCAAACAAAGATGTTTCTCAAAATCAGGACTGACTAGTGCCTAGCAGGCAGGAGGAAGCAGGGAACTGGTACAGAGGAAGTGGAAGCTGGCTGTACACAGGTTTGGAGTGTTTGTTTTCAAATCCAGAATCAGCCTTACTGCCCCTTCCCTCCTCCCTCTCCATCAGCCCACACTGCACTCTCAAACCCCCAAATCTCACTTGAGTTCTCACTCTGAGCCTTTGTGGCAAGGAGCCAGCGCTGGGCACCAAGGGCAGGAGGCTCTATGCCACTCAGCCACGCACTGCTGTTGGGTCAGGGCAGGACACTCACTTTGCACACCTTGTAGGTATGTGTCCAGGCATGAAGAGCAGTCTCCCATTAGTGTCTGGAAGCTGCTGATAGTGGCCTCATTCAGCTCCACCACTGACACATCCATCTTTGGACAGATCCTGAACTCGCGACTCGAAATGCTAGAATGCAAGCAGGCATTTCACCACAGAAAGCCATTTAGCGTTGAAGATTTAACAAACTCTTTTATTAAGAGGACTCTGCAAAGAGGACAGTGCATTATGGTGTAAACAACTCTTTGTTAAGGTTAAACAAGTCACAGCTGTTAAAATTAACAATTTATTTGGCATTACCTGTTACTTACCAGACCTACAAAGGACCTTTGAAATACTGAAATGAGAAAGGAGGAGCCATAGTGTTTTTGTGAGAAGTTGCTTTGACCTATTGCAGGCAGGCTGTCACTGTTCTAGCACAATGACCATTGTGATAAAGAGAAAATGCCAGATATGTTAAATGCTCTCCAGGTTTCTGGAAAACAGCTTCAATCCTACAGGCTACATTTTGATCTGCAGCAGAGCTGTGAGTAATGGAATGCACTGCTGCCAGCACAGTCCCCAGGTATGCAGTGGTTCTAAGTTGTCCTTACCATCCAATCTCAGCTTTAATTTGTGCAAGGTACAGAGATGAGCTCTTAAAATCCAGCTAGATGTTAGAGCTAGCCCTTCATGAGACTGAGGAGTTTACGGCAGCAACAGAATCCCTGGTGGATACGTAACGTAATGTACTGGCAGTGTGGTTTTGCACCATTGAATTACAACAGACACTCAGATGTCAGTCAGGAAGTGGTAAGTTATAAATTAAATGTATCACTTGCAGGAAAAGGCAAGTGCTCTGTTAAGGCATTACACTTGTCCACAAACAGAACCCAAACCGAGCCAGTCATCTCTGCAGCCAAGGGCTGCTCACTGCAACTAAGTGTGGGCATGTCACAAATACACAGCTGGGAGAGCATTGCTGTCTGTAACCTGAACCCTTATGGTCTCCATCTCTAACAAAAACATTTTTGTCATTATAAAAGCCAGTAGTTTTCACCAGAATCCACTAACCATTTAGCTAAAGAAACTGAAGCTAAATGGGCCACTGGAATGGTCAGCAGCTATGTCCCCATCATTGTTAGTTGTGTGGACGTGGTGCACTCTTGCACAGATGGAATAGGGAGCAGCTTTGCAGAGGAGGTTCCAGGACAGAGGAGCACATGCAGCAGGTTTGATCTGAGTTACCCACATCATATTTTTTCAAAGAAGAAAACAAGTGTTTTCAGATGGAACGTACCTGTCCAGCACCAGCCTGAATTCCTATGATTAAGATTGAAAAAAAAGAAGAAGAAGAAGAAATCATTAGTGTAATTTCCAGAAAAGGCAGCTGGCTGAGAAGTGGGCATGTGAACAAAATACAGCTGTTTACTTTGAAGAGATGGAAAGTGTTTGGTTGTTCTTTTATCTTCTGCAAGGACTGAAGATGCTGTACAAGCTCATCTCTCTTTTCTTCCATCTCTTTCTTCCGTTTGGCACATTCTGCTAGCTGTGATTTCTCACTGGATTGAATATCGCTGAGGATCTTCTTCTCTTTCTTTTTTATCTCTGTCTCTATCTCTCCAAACATCTTTTGCAGCAGAGAAGTCGCTGTTTTCGTATTGGTCTAAATGAAGAGAGAAGAAAATGGTGCACTGGCTCAGGCACTCAACTAGGGGTTTCTACTAGATTTGTATTTGTCCTTTCAGCTGTCTTTAGAAGGAAGCAGACGATAGGCATTTGCTTAGATTATCTGATAAACACAAAAAATTCTGAGAATTACCCTGCTGTAGTAACAAAATCTGATAAAATTCAGCTAGCAATGTGAGAACCACAGTGAGAACTTTTATCTAAAGGATAAAAAGCTTTAAAAATATATAATGTTATGCACAGACTGTGGTGTGCAAATGACTAAACTCTGCCAGTCCAGCAACCACAATAAATGGTAGAGTTTCCCAGCTGGTTCCTTCTGAGAAGCTATGCTGAGGGGTTATGAAAAAGCTTGATGGGAGCTTCTTAAATCAGTGTTTTCCCTATTTTGGACTGCATCTCTTTCTATTCATCTTTTTTTTCTACTTGTACTGATAGTTGAAGAAGTTGGACATCTAGATGATACCTGAATTTTCCTCCTGATTTGGCAATTGTTCTAGCTAAAAGATTCTGTGTTCCTTGCTTAGCATATTTACTCTGCAATAATAATTTACTCTGTAATAATAATAACAATCAGTGTATTTCATAGTGAGCACCACTCATAATTAATTAATTCTTGCAAAAGAGCCAAACTGGATCCTAAAACCCAAATAACCACATGTTAAAATATAGTAGAGTTGCAAAGGATTGGTTTGATTGTTCTCAAGGGCTCCAGATGGAATGAGGAAGGCAGCCCTCAGCAGTGCAGTCACTGGAGGTCACCGGCAGCCATTCAGGCACAGCTCTGCCCCGTCACAGCCTCAGCATCCCTGTGCAGCCCTGGTTTGAAACTGCTGTCACAGAGCAGTTTCAATACCACCACCTGTACTGGGCTGTGCCTGATGATGTCAGTAATTATTGGAGTACTTTGCAGGTGAATCTATCAGAACAACTTGCTGAACGTGACACCACAGTATTATTGCCATCATTTATTTCTTAGAAAACATGGAGGAAAGATGCTCTGAATTAGCTGTGACCTGGGCACATACCTCAATCTGATTCTTGTTTCGCTGAAGCTCCTCAAGGGCGATAGATAAATAATTTATGTATCTCAGCAGCTTATCCATAGTGTGAGAGAGTTCATCCTAGCAGAAGAAAAAAGAGCATTGAACTTCACAACAGGGAAGGAGCATGGATATTATTAAACCAGGCCAGCCTTCCGTGGCACTGGTGAAGCAGCATGTGTGCCTGCTTTCTCCAGCACCATACTTACAGTAAGCTCTAAAATAGGCTGTGTTTACTTGCCTCCTCTTAAAGGTAGGGCAAAACTGCAAAACCAATATAATTCTTGAAGTCTTTCAAGCCAATGTTTAATTTTTATGTATGCATGACTTTGTATATGGTTGATTAATCAATTAAAAACTTTCCCTTTGAATAAGTAAATTTCTCTTTAAATGAATAAATCTCACTTTGTTCAAATTCTGTTCCTGTCAGACCTCCGCATGTGCCTACTGTAATCCAAACCCTTGGTTTTCACATCTGTCAGTGTTTGTGGCATCTGTGGGCAAGGTAACAAACGACCATCTTTTCAGGACATTAGCAAAACATCAGTACTTACTCACCCAGCTGCTTACTTTGGTACCACAGTCACTGAGTGTTATTATAATGTATGATAGCAGGTTTCTGGGTGATGTTACACCTCACTCTTCAGGGATGAGGCAGGCTCTAGACATTGCTCAGAGCAAGTCTGGATGTGGCTCCAGGCAGCCTGGCCTAGTGGTTGGCAACCCACGGCTAGGCACTGAAACTAGAAGATCTTTGAGGTCCTTTTCAACTCAGGCCATCCTATGATTCTCTGATTGCTGCCTGGCTGGTGCTGGCTACTCCTCACCAGTGTGTTTTCACACCTCCTGCACACACTAATGGCCACAGCAGCACCATGCCAGTTTCTTAAGCTCTTGAATAAAAAATGATACCAGGAAGCTTAGGTTTGTTTTTTTTTTTTTTTTCCTGTGAGATATTTTTGAAAAATGTAAAGATGAAGAATCAAATCTGACTGAGGTTCCTTGCCCCAAAAGGCTTTTGTGAGACAAAAAAATGCTGCTTTGGAGGAAGAGCTTGGTAATCTCCTCAGCCACCACAGAGGAGGAAATGACAAGCAAAGCTCAGCACATAGGACCAGGATGATGGCGTGCCCGTGGTGCCCCTGCCTGCCTTCAGCCCTTGCCCCCACCCCAGAGCAAGGGTTAAGCATTCCTGCCCCGCCCGTGCCCCTCTGCTCCCATGCCCAGGCTCTGCAGTGAAACATGGGGAGAGGAGAGAGAGGAGAGCCCCTTACCAGGTTCATGTCATGGGCCTCCTTCAGGGTGAGGATCTTGTGGCCCTTGTGGCACCCCGCAATGGAGCACAGCACGCAGATGAACAGCCTCTCGTCCTGGCAGAAGTACTCCAGGACCTTGCCGTGCTCCTGGCACCTCCTCTCCTCCATCGAGCCGCCCGTGCCCACCTCCACCAGGACGTGGTCCCTGTGGGAGGCCCTGGCGCTGTGCTTGTCCAGGTGGGCCTGGCACAGGGAGGCGTCGCACATCAGGCACGTCTTCACGGCCGGCTGGGGCTTGTCAAGGCAGAAGTCACAGGGAACTGCCTCTCCTTTCTCCGTCGCAAAGCCCTCGTCCTGCTTCCCTTTGTGGGCCACATACGTCTCCACGATGCTGCACAGATGGAAGTTATTTTGCAGTTCCACGATGGGCCCCAGCTCAACCCTACATAGCGGGCAGGAGTAGGGGGCCTTGTCCTGCTGCTGGGCACTGAGCACCTTCTGGACACACTGCTTGCAGAAGCTGTGACCGCAGCAGAGTGACACAGGGTTCCTGTACAGGGACAGGCAGATGGAACAGCTGAGTTCATCTTCTAAGCTAGAAGACGCTCCAAATTCTTCCTTAGCTTTCGCCATGGCTGCACAACCGACAGACACACCCACCGGTCTGCAAGAAACGAAACCGAAAGGCTGGCCGTGGCACAGTGCCAGCCCTGCAGCCCTGCCCCCCTGCTCTCTGGAGCGAAGCAAAATACTTCCCCATCTGAGGCGTGTCATCAGCAGCTCGCCTGCAGCCCTCTGCCCAAGAGAGCCCTGGTTGCGATGTGCCTGAGCCTGGCTGCAGCAAGCCAGGAGTTCTCTGCTTAGTCGCGCTCTCCTCAGCTGCTCCAAGCACCACCATCCTGCTGGGAAGGGCACCCCAGGGTAGGAACAGAACTAAGGTACTGCTGTGCAGGACAGGGAGGTAAATGCTGGTACACTAGAGCAGAGATTGGCACTGCTGCTTGTGAGTGCTGTAGCATTAATGTTGTGCCAAATACTTTGTAATAGACTAGATTACCACCAAGTTTTGTGAACAAAATTACTTTAATAATATCCATCCAACACAGCAATCTATACAGTTCAGCAAAAGTACAATACTGAAACAAAAATACCAAAAACCTGAGGAGGTACATTTGACTGTAGATGTATTTGATGGCCCATTTTCTCATTCTCTCAACGCAGCCCATTGCTGCAAAAGACCAGAACCTTATTATAGCTCAGAAGCAGGTTGCAAGCAGGCCCAGCCTGAAGCCTGGTTTATACTGTGCCAGGGTGGCAGTCTGTGCAGCTGCAGCCCCAAAATGTAGAGAATGTAGGGAGCAGAAAGGCAAGGCAGCTTTGCCCCCACGTCACTATGGGAGTGAAAGGGAGCCATGAGAAATGCTGAAGACAGCATGGACAGGAGAGCTTGAAGGGATGCTTACTGTATCTATGAGCACACAGCTCCTAGAAGAGCCTGAATAATCCTTGACAGACGCATCAAAAAATGACACTGTCTTTCTTTCGCAGTCTAGCTCTACCCTGACCATTCTGATGGCTTTATTATAAAGTAACTGGACTTTAATCCATCTTTTATCTAGAAACACGCTGAGCTGATGCTGAGACATTTCCAGGTAGCATTGAAAACTGTCATCAGCAACACCCACTTTCCAGCACAATGAGTCACGGGTGATCACCTCCCAGAAGTGCTGGCCATTCGAGAAGCTGCTGGTGCTGTACACCCAGAACGGCATTTCGATTGGCACAGGAAATGCGCAAGGTAGACTGACTACTCTGAGCACCTTGTCATCTACTTGTAGTCCATGTGCTTGACATGATTTGAAAGTCAGATGTTCATGAGCTATAGAAACAAACAAACAAAACATGTTATGGTTCACAGATGGTTGTGCATATCAGCATACATCTCCACTGCTGGAGATGAAGGTGAAAGAAATCTTGAACCCAAAGTTATTAGAAGTGCATTCATTAAATACTTTCTGCATCTCTCTTAGCTACTCCTGCGTAGTTCTAAGGGAGTGAATATCACATTTCAAGAAATATTTCTATTTCAGAATTTTAACACAACTTTTGCTTTCTGTTTCCAACTGCAGCAACTCTCTCATCATTATCCTGCAGAGCTTCATTATGCATTCTAAAACACTCTCTGGATCAATCCCCATGCACAAGTATGTGAATGTTTTATAAAATATTATTTGCTTACTATCATTTGAAGACATTTCCTAGAGCTCTCAAAAATGCCCTCAGCATTGGCTGCCACAGATGGTTAATCTTGCCCTGTTTTCCTTCATACTAACTCTTGCAGGTAATATATTTCAATATTGCAGCTTTTTCTACTCTGTAAGTTATCCCTTCAGTAACTGTGAGTTGGCAACTAAAACTGCTCAAATGGGATAGGTAATTACAAAAATCTGGTCAAGAGGGCAAGAACATGGGAACCAGAGTTTTTTTAAATTCAGCTGGACAAGCATGCTACAGTGTACAGCGCATCAGTGTGCTGATCCTTTAAAACAGCATGAAGGAATACAGTTATTTAGGTAGAAAGAGCAAATTATTTATATTTGTAAACAAATTCCACCTGCTGCTATGGAGTGCTCATCTTTTCAGTGCCACTTTGAGGCTAGTGACAGAAGAGATGTTGCTACACTCTTCTCTTTGTCCTCTCAGAAAATTCCTAGGACAATCTGCACCTCATCACCCACAGCTCATTCTAATGGGGTGCATCCGAGTCCCAGAGCACTGACACCCACAACAAGCTTTCCTTTTTTTGCACACATATGTGAAAGTAATCAAATATAGTGTCAGTAATCAGTTCTAGAGGAACCTGGTGTACTTGCTGTATTTTTACAGCCCTTTCTTAAATATGCTTTGTTGGATTCTCTGTCCTACCTCTCACTTAGTGAAATAGTCACTTACTAGGTGATGATTTCACTGAGGGCTTTGCATCCAAGATTAAGTCGACATAAGGCTGGAAACGCTCTTGAATGGTCTTTTTCATTGATTCATCCGTAATACTGAGCAGCTTTGCCAGTTCTACACCATCTTTATTACGGACTCGTTCCCTCTTCCTAGAACATACAGAAAGGCATCAGAACAGCAGTGAGTCATGGGAAAATGTTACCAATCCCAATGCTGAGTGAACAACTGAGCCAACCAGAGAGCAATGCAGTGCTGGGGACAACTCTGACTATCTCATCTGTTCTTTGCATCCCCACACAAGCATCTAAATATTCACAAACTGCCCTGAGCAGGTCTCAGGAATGGGTGCTGATGGTTCAGAAAAGTCAGTCATGTTGTACATGGAGATTCACACACAACATCAGTGAAAATTCTGGGGCTTCTTCAGGTCTCTGAAGGAGAAAGGTGCCAAGCATGCGGTCAGCGTGCTGAAACAGGCAGCTGTCATGAGCCCAGCATAAGCCTGGGAAGCCAGGCCTGCCCTGTGTGCCATGTGGGCAGACAGCCTGGGACTGAGGGAATGACAGCCATCAGCAGCCCAGTGAAATGCAACAGCAGACCACCAGTGAAGAGCTTACCTGGCTTGTATTGCTGACCAACTCTGTAAAAAAGGCATTTTGAAAGAGGGATTAGCACAGTACAAAGGCCAACACAAGTGCTGCAATATCTCTGGGAAGGGTTGTTAGGTACCTTAAGAAAGAGTACTGGATCCTTCTGATCCCTCAAAGCCTCCAACTCCTGCACATTGCGGCTGGCAGCATCCTTCATCTTGTTGTGTTCTTTTATCCACGGCTCAATCTGAGAAAGCTGCTGCTTCTCAATGTCACTGATGGCTCCCAGGACCTCTGTTTTGCTTCTATCCAGCTGCTCACAAATCGCATTGAAAGAGTTCTCCAGCTGATTCCTGTGCAATCTTTCCAATGCCTTTTGAGAAAACATTTGCAAAGCTGTTAGGGATGGAATGTTACACTTTCCACACTCTCTCTTGCTTAGAAAGGAGCCTGGTCTTTTCTGCACTTAGAGAAGTATCATCTACTTCTTCCACATAGCAAGATGTCTCATTGACAGCAGATGGGCCAATTGACATAAGTGCCCTACTCCTGCATCTGGCAGCTGACCAGAGAACACCTGGCAGCAGTAATTGGGGAATAGTCTCATTCCCTTTGGATAGACTCCAGCTCCTCTTTGCTTGGGTTTCCAGTACTGGCAAGTTCAGTGCTTTCAGAAGCACCAAAATGAGACTGCCATCGAATAAGTAGCAGTTCTTGCACTAAGCTTGCTTAATGTTTCTGCTATGCATCTTTCCTTTTTCTGCACTGTAGTTTTCCACGGATATTTTCTCTTTTGTTCTTTTAAAGAAAGGTGAGGAAGAATGCTTTAACTGCTTATTGCCTCCACCAAGTTGCTTTCACTGTCAGCAAAAAGCTTGCTGCCCCAAACAGGACACTGCCAACAGTACAGTTCTGCCTTCAGACAAGAAGGGAGTAGTTCCCTTGCCTGGTGCCAGGACTTCCACTACGTCCAGCCCCATCATTTCTACTGGTGGAAGGAGTCAAGAACCAATTGTGCCCAAGCAGAATGAAGTACAATCTGGAGACCTGCCTTAAACTTCCTGCTCTATCAAGGGTTTTTAGCATTTGCATGCTAAAAAATTCAAAACACTTTGGGATGGTCTTTTAACCTTATATCTACCAACTTCTTAGATGCACAGGCTAGCCTAATAGGATTTCTTGTTGTAAAGAGGATTAAAAGCACTGTAAGATGGTTTATATCTTTCCCCTAAAGATTTTAGAGCATGCAAATTGAAGAAGGCTGGAAAAAGAAAAGGAATCAGCATCCACCTAAGAGGAAGCATGGCCTCAACAGCAGCATTCAAGCTCGCCTATCCTTTGTAATCTGAAAGTGTACTTCCCAGTCTTACAAGAAACCTGCTCATCAGCCTCCAAAAGGGGAAACTCAGAAAGTAACTGAGAAACCGGCCAGGAACTAAAAAGCTTTGGAATTCAGGGTCAAGGAAAGGAGAAAGAAAAACAAAACAACACAATCCTAATAAGCTATGAGCATAAACCATCCTCTAAGTGCTGTGGGATCGTGGAACAAACCTTTATCTTCTCCTGTTGTGACAGCAGATTTTCCAAGCTTTTATTCACTGCAGCTTCATGTTTTTTCAGTGTTTGCACAGTTTTAGGAAAAGCATCCTGAGAAAACAACAAGAGGGAGGTATGAGGTACAGACATAAGGGCACAAGATGAGCAATATAATGGAGATGGCTGAGGTCAGCCCCAGAAGTTTGTTCACTGTCTGCTCTCATGACAAATCAGCGCATAAAAGCTTTACTGGAAGATTTTGCCCCTGAACAGAACTCATGATCACGAGTGTGGGGAAGATACTTTCAAAACAAAAACTGTTCATACACAACAGCAACGTGGAAAGCTACTTTTTTATTGGTGGCAGCTTCCTTTCTGCTACACTGCCATCAATTTTCACTGCACAAACTCAACTGAGGCTGATACTCCTGTCTGAAGATGCAGTGAGGACTAAAAGCAAAGCCACAAACACTCGGTCCCACTGACTGCTCACGAGATTATTCTACAGCCCAAAGAGCAAGCCCAGAGGCAAGCTGGGGCAAAGCCCACACCCAAAGCCAGGTATTCCAAGATGGGAGCCTGCACACCTGAGTCCCAGGAGTTGTTCTGGCCTCACTCTGCAAGCAGCTCTCCATATCCCAAATCCCCAGGTTTTCCCACGAGCAGCCTCAGTCTGGGCAGCTGTCCTGGCAGCCCCTTACCTGTGCTTGGCCAAAAGCCTCTTCCACACTGATGATTTCATGGCTCCTGTGGGAGCTGGTGGCACAGCACAGCATGCAGACACAGATCGAGTCCGTCACACAGTAGCATTCCAGCAGCTTGCCATGCTGGGAGCATCTCCTTTCCGCCAAAACACGAGCATCACAGGGCTCCATCAGGACGTGGCTTGTCAGGAAGGCCTTTGTGCTGTGCTTGCCCAGGTGGGCCTCGCACAGGGAGGTCTCGCAGTTCATGCACGTTTTCACTGCTGGCTGAGGCTTCTCAAGGCAGAAATCACACAGGATCTCCTCATCACGCAAGTCTGAACTTTCTCCCTCCTCTTCACATTCCATTTCACGTTTTACTTCCTCTTCAAGAGTGGCATTTTGCTCACTGGTGTCCAAAAACTTCTGCACTACGCTGCGGAGCTGGATGTTGGGCTGCAGCTTCGTAGGAAGGGCTTCCTGGGCGCTGCACAGCGGGCAGCTGAGGAGCCCCTGCGGGTAACGCTGATTGCTAAGCACGCCCTGGATGCACGCCTCGCAGAAGCTGTGGCCACAGCTGAGGGACACAGGGTTCCTGTAAACGTCCAGGCAGACGGAGCAGATCAGCTCCTCCTCTAACTCCTTCAGCACCCGCGGCTCCGCCATGGCGTCCGCAAAACGATGCAACAGGGCGAAGGGCGGGCCGAAAGGAGAGCCGTGCTGGTGAAATGGCTGGGCGGGGACTGGAACTGCTGTCACTTCCCGCAAGGGCGCGGTGCCCCATCGGGCTCACAGCTCTCCTTCCTGCGCTGCCGGGCTGCCCGGCCCCCTAGGAGGATCCCCGGGGCGGCAGCTGGAGCTGAGCGCAGCAAATAGGCAGCCCTCCTTAAACGGGAAGAGCAGCAGCTGAGAAGTGGGGCCTCGGCTTCCATCTGTGCCTGATTTCACTTTTCTTTCTGTCGGTCCTCTTGTAGCAAGTTCTTGAGATGACATCTGCGGGTGCTCCATCCTCAAAGCACGGCCCCGTGTCCACTTTCTCCCTGCTCCAGCGCTGCCCAGGTTCTCACCTTTCCTCAGAAGTGAGTCAGACCTTTGTTTCCCTGGAAACAGAAGGGAGGCAAGCACAGAATCATTAAGGTTGTAAAGACCTGTAAGACCATCAGGTACAACCCCATACAACCCCAACACATTGCCACCATTCCCACTGACCCATCCCACATCCCTCAGTGCCACATCTCCACGGTTTTTGAGCACCTCCAGGGACGGTGACTGCACCCCTCCCTGGGCACCCTGTGCCAGTGCATCACCACTCTTTCTGAGAAGAAATTTTTCCTAATATCCAACCTGAACCTCCCCTGGTGCAACTTAAGGCCACCCCCTCTTGTTTTAGCACTGTTACCTGGGAGGAGGAAATGCTCTATCATTGCAGGAGCAGGGGAGAGAGGAGGATGGAGGCACCTTATTTGTACTGATTTGAGAGCTGCTTCCCTCTGTTCTCTCTGCATTTCTGTGCAGGCCTTCAGGCCATACCCAGCTCTGGTGGTCTGATGCTAAGAGGTGGCAATGTCTGGGGCTGAGCTGCTCCTCTGCTTCTACAGGTGTGCTGAAAGGCCCTGGAACAGATAGAAGAACAGGGAGAAGAATAGGACATGTATAAAGAATGGAGTTGTATAGATATCATATGTAGAAGATCCTGAGTTGGAAGGGACCCTGATGTTTTTGTCTAACTGTATGCTGGACAACTGTTCTGGAAGGATACTGTGAGAAACAGTATCAAAAGCTTTACTGAAATCTCAAAGGATAACATCAGCTGACTTCCTTTCCTCATTTAAGTGGTGGCCTTGTCATAATAGGAAATTAAGTTAGTTAAACAGGACCTTTCCCTTAGGAACCTGTGTTGGCTGTGACCAAGGACCGCATTGTCCTGCAGGTGTTTTTCAGTAACTCCTAGCATAATTTTGTCCATAATTTTACCAGGCACTAAAGTGAGACTGACAGGACAGCGTCTTCTTTCTAGACCTTCTTGAAGTTTGATGGCTTCCCATCACCTGGGACTTCTCCAGATTCCAAAGACCATTGAAAAATCATTGAGAGAGGTCTCACAATGACACTGGCCAGCTCTCTGAAAACCCTGGGATGAAAACCATGGGGTCCTATGGTCTTATGTATATCCACGTGGAGCAGCAATCCTGCACAAGATTGAGGTTGGCTCATCATTACCACAAACAGTCATCCAACTCAGTGCACCTGGGTGCCAGAGCCTATTGCTCCTGCAGTATTCATTCCCTCTCTGCCCTCATCTCACTGAAGGGGTTGCTCTCTGCTCCTCTCACAAACAGCCTCTGCCTTCCCACTAACAGCACTGCTGCATTCCTCCACTCTGGACGCGAGAACCTGGCTCCTGCATTCATGCACCTTTTCCTTTGGCACTTCTGAAGACACTCCAGCAAACGTGCCTCATACAATAGGACAGCAGCAAAGACATTTTCAAGCCATGTATTTGCTGTCACACAACCATTCTCAGGGCTCTGACACGGAGCTGACAGATCCTGTGAGAGGGATGCTGCTCAAGGTCAGGCATTTGGAAAATGCTGAAGATGCTGCCTCATTGGGCAGGTGCCAGCTAGCTAAGGTCAGCATCAGAAGTTGTCCCCATGCACAACAGCCAGTCACTGGCTTCTCTTAAAGAGGAGATAGGTAAGAGGAAGAAGTATCTCAGGGAAGAAGTATCTCAGGGAATGGAGCATCAAATTTGAAGTTAGATTGACTTCCTGCTTAAAAAACCTGTAATGGCCCATGATATCTTGGTGTTTTGCTACAACCTTCTCTCCAAGAAAAAAAAAAAAAAAAAAGAATAAAATTAGGATTCGGAGGAAAAGGAGCTTTTCAATCAACTCTATTCTAAAGCTGAAAATGATGTTAAGAACCTGGTTCTAGCTGCTTTTAATTGGTTTGATGTGTGCAGAAATTACCCTTCTATCACATGCTTTCCCTTTCTCTTTCCTAGTATTGTTTCTCCATGTAGCCCACAGCTGGCTGAAAAAATCAAGGCTCTCCCCTTCCTGTCTTACGAGAAGCTCTTGGCCACGGCCAGTAGCAATGTCCTAGCATAAACTGTCCCTGCAGCCCCTGGTGGCACAGCCCGTGCTGCAACCTGTTTGCAGGGGCTGGTGTTACTGGGCTGCTCTTACTTGTTCCTGGATGCCCGAGAACTTGTTTAAGATGTACTGCTTTAAGCAAGGCTCCTGAGAGAGTGTCTGGGCAAATGCGTTGTGCTTGGTTAAATGCCCAGAGGAGCAGTAGTTGTTTATTTTACAGGAATTTATCATACAAACCTCTTCCTGACGATATTTACCTCCCAGTCCTGTTTCATGCACTGCAGCTGGTGCGGATGGGTGCAATTCTTCCTTCCATATCAGCTCCTTATCAGCTTGCTGCCCACTGCATGCTCCCCAAGCTTTCTTGTGACCCTGGCCCACTTTTGTACTCTTGTTATTCCCGAAAGCTCAGGGTCCTTTATCATTACTTTTTGCTCCTCTGTAGGGTCTATAGTTTATTTTTTCAGCACTGCCCTGAAATCTGGTTTTCTTACCCTCAATTAATTAGACTTATTAATCTTTTCACTGAAGAAAGAATTAATCTCCCTAATTTCCTTTAGGAGTTTATATAACCAGAAGGTACTGGAAGCTGCAGGTAATGACCACTGTAAATAATTTGCTGTTATCTCCTGGGCTGTCTGCATGGTGACCCACATGGCACAACAGTGTGCTGCTTCAGCCAAACAGGCTTTTCAACTCTTCCCTTTGGCCTCTGTTCCCCTTGGCATGGCAGCGACAGCCCGTCCCTATGTCTTGTGTGTCCCTCAGAACAGCCATGTGTACCAACCAGAGCCAGGCTGGCCATGGGAGGAATACTTCTGGTCCAGGTGCTTTGGTGCCGCAGTGCCTTCTCTCATCAACCTGTGGGAAGCACAGGTTCTCTGTACTCCTTGGACAGCTGAGTTCCTGCCTGGACCTGAAATGAGCGGCTTGCAGTGAGGGATGGAGATGTTGGTGATGAGAACACAGCCTTTCACTTGGGAGTTTGCCCACTCAGCAGTAGTGAGCTGAATCCTTGCACTGCCTCTCTCCAGGCAGATGCTGATATTTTGCAAACTCACTGGAATAAAGACTCCTTGTGATACAAATCAACATGAGCAGATACAAATCACTGTCGGAGTGTGGCAGGGTATAGGTAAATCTAGTTCCTCTCTGTGCCCTTCTCCAGTACATTCTGCACGGGCAGTAAATCCTTTGTGCTCCAGGGCACTGCTGTGAGCCCGGGGCACCTCATGCTCCTTTTTTGGCAGGATTACATCCAGGACATGTGCACTGCTGCAGCGGAGATGGTTTCCCTCTAAAATGATCTCTGTTGTGAAGGCAGTGGGGAGATCCTTTTGCTGCTCCACAGGCTGGTGGAGGGCAGCTCCCTGCACGGCTCTGCTCACCATCCTTCTGCCATTTCTTCAGTGCTCTGCACATGTAGGGTCCTTTGGATGTCAAACTGAAAGGGAAGCAGAGATGCTCAGACAAGCAGAGAGCCCCAGCACATTTGCAAGAGCGCTATGCCTGCACCTCACCCACTGCAGCTGCTGAGCTGTTGGGACTCACCCAGGGCAGATGTGTTCCTGCTGCATGGCTCCTCAAGGGTCTGCTCAGCCAACACCGGGTGTAGCCCACTGTGCCATGCAGGCAACAAGAGCCTGAGGCGCAGCAGCTGGACACCCTCACCCCCACCCAGCAACAAGGTGGGCATTTGAGGAGAGGGATTGGTTGGGAAATGGTATCTTCTTACCTGCAGGAGGCTGCTGAGAAGTGTGAGGGTTCCAAGTGTGAGTTTGAAGAGGTACTTGGAGGTAGAGATGGAGTATGAAAAACTAAAATGTATCCAGCCAAGGACTGAGGGGGAGAGAAAGAAGGAACAGATTGTGGAACCCAAAAGGGGCAGCATGTAGAGCAAGCTCTCCATCGACCCCTAAAAGCTCATACTGAGTACAGACAGCATCCACAGCTGGTGTACAGAGAGAGCGAAGTTTGGCAGGGCAAAGAACAGTGAGATGGGGGTAGCATGCAGGCAAGACAGGCAGCAGCTGTTGGCAGAGATCAGTGACACTGGGAAGTAAGGCAGAGGTCCCTGAGCCGACAGGAGGCAAAAAAAACCAGACCCTTCCCAAGTCCTCCCTCTAAAGACACCCATCAGATCTGGCCAGCAAGCCAGGATGGAGAGATGCTAAGTGGGCAAATGCGGGCTCCAGAGCCCCAGCTGGGACCTCACAGTGCCAGTGCTGAGTTCCCCCGCAGGGCTGGGAGCTCAGAGCACAGCCAGCCCTGCTCAAGGTCAGGTGTTCAGAAGATGCTGAAGATGCTGCCCTCATTGGGCAGATGTCAGCCAGCCAAGGTCAGCATCAGAGCCTGTCCCCGTGCACAGCAGCCAGTCACTGGCCCCTCTCCCTCCCACGGGGCAAGCTGTGCCTGCAGTCTGGTTTTGTCTGACTGATAGAGCAGGCACTGAAGCTACAAATGCATTCCCAGGTGTGTGAGAAGAAGTTGATTTACCAGAAAGCTATGCCAAAATAGCAAACCACAGTGCTGGTTTTGTTGTAATTTTTTTTTTGTTTCTGTTGTTTTTTTCTCAAATGGATGAGTATAACTGTCGAAGTTTGTACACAACCCCACGTCCCCATGTCCCCACAGCCAGGCCAGTGCACACCAGTGCCACGTCCTGCTGCACGGAACGCCTGCTTGGTACCCTGCCATACCAGCAGCACAGACTCATTGCTCACTATTGGTTTGTTTTCCAGTTTGTAGTATATATGTTATCGTTTATTTATAGGCAGATCACTTCACTATTTACAGTACATGAGCGTAGAGATTCTACAGTCTTTGTGATGTAAACAAGTAACTCCACGGCAGGGGAGTCTGGAAAAAGAAGCCAGTTCTGAAGTATTTACACAATTTAAAATAGAACTTTTATACCCACTGGATAGATATCGATAATACATCGAGCGATTTGGTTAAATTATCTATGAAACTATAGAATCTGACAATGTAAAAATACAAGAAAACGTTCTCTCGTTTTAGAAGGTAGACAGTTAAATCACACTAGAAATAAATCTCTGTTTAAAAATAATAACAATAATAATAAAGGAAAGGCATAGGAATCCATGCCATCTTTTAAGGTTAAAGTATATTACATAAATAAGGACACAACGGAACGAAACCAGGGGGGGAAACAAAAAAGTGAAATATAAAAAACCGCTACCAATTAAAAAAAATCAGACTAAAAACTTGATTCTTAATCACAGAGGGATCAACTCTGCCACTCTGACTTACTCTGCAAGCAGAAAATCACAGAGTTAAGCAGTACTTACTCAGCACAAGGAAGGGGGCAGAACTGGCCCCTAATAATTATTAGCAGTGTCCTTTTAGTTAATTTAAAAAAAAATAATTAGCTTTTATTATAAATAACAAAGCAGATGTGCCCCTTTTTAGGTGAAATTCTTACACCTTTCTTGAGAAATGCATCGCTTTCACCTTCCTCTCTCTCACATGCATTTGGCCCCCGGCCATGCGGTGTTGGCGGTGCCCGCGCTGTGACGGCTCCGGGGATGAGGAATGGAGCCCGAAGGCTGAGTTTGGTTCATATTGCTTGAGATTGTCGGGATGGATGGAGATAGAACAGAAAGGGCTTCAGGGCTCAGCTACGAACAACGACGGAGTTCGTCATTCAGCACAATGCCAAAAAGAAAGAATACAATTCAAAACAATTCAAACACTGGTCTGTAATGCAGCTCCGCGTGGACCAGTGCTGAAGTCAGACACTCAGCCTGCAAACAGCGGCTGAGCTGCTGCTCCTGCAGGGAAGGCACGCAGCCCAGCAAGCTGTGCTGACAAGGAGTCGGGATGAACCTCATCTTTGGGGCAGCATCAAATCTAACACCCGGGATTGTCCTCTGCATTCAGCCTAGACTCAGAAACATCGGCTCCTCTCCTATGGAGCCCCAGGAATCTGCTGGATTCCAGCCAGGAAACCTGGTATCCCACCCTGAACTGCAAGATTTTATGGGGCAAATCTGTGCAAAAACAGTGAAAGGGCATTTCATCATCAAACTCTTCACGTTTAGTATCTCCCCACAGTACTCACAGGCAGCTATCAGGGGTCATTCTAGAGCTATATACTTCTTAGAAAAATAAATCTCCTCCTTACTTATTGCCTACCTTAATAGACCCTTTGCTCCCAGTTTCTCTGGGTGTGCCCCAGCGGTGAGGGGCGCAAGGGCCCTTCCCTGCACCCAGAGCAGCCTCAGTCCCTGAATGGAGTGAGCTCTCCTTGGCCCCTCCTCACCCCTGGGCGCTGTGAGCAAACAAAACCTTTCCATTAAAAAAATAAAACTCCAGTGGAAACTTATTTTTCACCACTACCCCTGCGTGAGAGATTCTAAACCCAGCCACACCTGTGCTTCTCAGGCTGAAACGCTCTGCACTTACCAAATCCTAAACTGGGGGTAGGTATGGGGGCTGGCGAGGAGGGTGCCTGAGCACCTGTGTGCGTATTGCATCAGTGCAGGAAACGTTTCTCAAGGGGAAAGGGACAATGAGCCGTCTGAATTCAAGGGAGGGGGGAAAAAGAAAGGAAAACCCCCAAACGTCAACAAAAAATCCACTTATAGGCTTCAGGCAACACGAAGACCACTTATTGCATCTCTTCCTATCCTACGACTGCAGTACTGATTGGCTCTGTGCGTTACAAAGTTCCCATCTGTAGGGAGCGCCGTGCCTCTGTGCAGAAGTACTGCGATGGCACGGGAAGCTGCAGGAAAGCAACATCAAATTTTGGATGGGGGCTCACAGAAACCAAGGCTGGCAATGCACCTGAAGGCTGCCCCAGGGGGATCCTCGGGGACCCAGCAGCCCCACCGTGCCTACCCTTCCCCTCTGCCAGGCTTGATGCATCCTCCAGCTGGGAGCAGCCCAGGGCTTGCTCCCATGGCTGAGGAAGGAGGAGATGGAAGAATTCCACTTGGCCTTTTTTTTTTTTTCTTTTTTTTGGATTGATCGTTTTCTGAAAAACATCAGCACAGCACAGGACAGTACTACCCACCCTAAATGTGTCGCTATATACATTCTACATAAGCTCTATAGCAATCACATGTAAACATCATTGTTGTGAGGAAATACTAGGACAGAAAAAGGCAAAGCTACAATGAGGCAATTGCCAATAGCAGATGCTCAGTCTCGGCCAGGGTTACTCGTGTATGCTGGGTTGGGGATAGGATGGGGATAGCCTGTGGCAGGAGAGACCTCTGCCCTTGCTCTGGGCCGAGGGCCAAGTGGCACAAGGACACGGCCGGCTCTGGTGGCAGGTTGTGAGAACCAGCAGAGCTGTGTCACTGCCTTACTGGTTCCATGAGAGCAGTGAGAAACGAGTGGGCACTGCTGCTGGCATGGCTGCTGGCAGCTCTTCTGTCAGGGACAGGCCTGGGTTGGAGCCGCAGGCTGTGTCGGCAAGGCAGTGCTCCTGGAGCCGAAACTCCTGCAGTTTTGGGGGCTTTGGTAATACTGCCTGCAAGATGAAATGGCATCCACACTGAGGAAATGAGAATAAAAACCCTAAGTTGCGTACCAGGGAGACCCCAGAAGACTCTAATCTATCTATTGGCAGAGTTAAGGCTATATATTCTATCTACAAAGGATGGCTAAATCCCTAGTGGTCTCTGTGTCCAGAAAGCAAATGAGGGTGATGGAGATGGCTTGAGGAGCCAGGGAGATTTCCTTTACCCCTGGCCTGCTCTCGGTTGGGATCCCTCCAACCAAGGCTGGGGTCTCTCCCGCTCCCACCTCTCCCAGAGGTGGGGGACAAGTTTGCAAGCAAATTTCATGGGGACGCTGCTTGAGCATGCCTTATATCCAGTGCTGCCGGGCGGCCCGGGACCCTAGCAAAAGGCAGGGGATGGTGCACGCAGCGGCAGGCCAGCCAGGAGCCTCAGCAAAGCTGCCATGCTTCCTTCACGCTGCTGGGCACGGAGGCAGCAGCATGGAGCGCGCCAGTGGTGGGCACAGATCTGGCTCACCAACCGGGTGCTGGGTGGCTGTATGGCTTATTGGGCACCGGCTGGAGAATGGGCAGCGTGTCGGGCGGGCAGAGACATGGAGCTGCCATGCCCCTGCACACGGCAGGCTGGAGCGGGGATGCCCGGAGGTGGTCGTGCCACTCCTTCACCACCCTTCCCTTCATGCCCACACCGTGGCCCCTCTCGGCAGCTGGGGGCCAGGGCTCGGCCCCAACAAGGAGAATGGCTTTGACAGCAAAGTGGTGACCCGGCGGGGAGGCGGGCGGCCTCGTGGCAGAGGGCAAACGCTGGCTCTGGGGCTCTGCTCTGACCCCCATTTGCTCAGTGGCAAGTGCCTCATTACAGTGCATAGTTAAAAATCAAGGAAGCGGTACAATAAATCTGAATTACAGTACATCTGAGCCATAAATACATCTTTAAGTATATACTTCTTTTTTCTTCTTCTATTAAAAATTAGTTTATAATCCTGATTCTATTCACAATTAACAATTTCATCATCACACACTACGGACAAAAAATGTTATGGTGAACACAGCTGCAACTCCACGGTGGGAGCACGGGGTGGGGGCCGGGGGCTCCTAGGCTCACCCTAAAACAACCAGTCAGAAGCGGGGCGACTAATGTGTGGCAGTGAGACATCAACACCATGGGGATTCACAGACAGAAGCAGCTTTGTTCAATGTAAACATCAATTGAAAGGGACAGCAGTCTCTCTCTCGCGCGTGCGTGCTCTCGCTCTCTCGCTCTCTCTCGCTTGTCATAGACTGAATAATTTCTTTGAAAACGTAAACATATTGGAAGTGCCTTGACTGAGGTATTGAGGTATTCCTCCAAGGTTAAGGCTGTTACCGATGCAGGCTTAGCTGGGCCTCCTGTAGCAAGCTGTCAAAATCCATGGTCTCATACTTGCTCTTCACCGGTGCCGGGGAGGACTCCTCCACGCTGCAATCTGGGAAGAGCAGGACACAGGACATGGGTCAGGGGCAGCTGAACGCCCAGGCACCACGCTCCCTGTGCCGTGCTGGCAGGCACCAAGCACCTGAGCTGGTGTTTCCCCTGATGGGTGCCTGCAAATGTGCCGCTGTTATCCCATATCCCAGAATGAGAGAAAGTGGGAAAATGGGCTGTTTGTCCCCATTGAAAAGGAGCAAACTGGTGTTTGGTGGAGGAGCTCTCACAGGTCAGGTTAGACGTCAAAAATTCACAAAAATTGCCAGATCCAGACGGGTTCTGAGTCCCCAAAGTATGGCAGTTCCCACTTGAGCAACCAGGTCATGGCAAGCGTGGGTGTCTGCCTGTGGAGCTCCCCTTCTCTTGCATCAGAAGCTGAACAAAGAGTGCCATGACAAAGCCTGCCACATCTAGCAAATGGCAGAAATAAGGCAGCCTCATTTAGCAGCAGCTTAACCCCTTTGCATGCATATTTTTGCAAGAGCTGGGAATCATGCAGGGGTCCCTGTAGCTCTGCTGTCCGCAGCACAGCACAGCCAGTGCTTTCATCATGTGTTGCATGCTGGTTCTTACCCCCTCAGAGCCCAGAATGAAGGATCTTTGGATTTATTACATGAATAATGAGCATTTGCACCCACAACCAAAATTGGAGCGCTGCTCTAAGCAAATGAAGTATTTCAAGGTGCTAAGGGATCAGCCAGTACTTGTGTCAGACTGGGCACTTAGGGGGGAATCAAAATGTATGGCTTTATTTTTTGGGCATGGAGCAAGATTGCCTTATTTTGTGCGTGAATTGAGATAAAAGGACCACTTCACCTCCTGCAGAGGGTGCAGAAATTAACGTGTGGTGTTCGTGAAACACCCAAGAGTCAAAGTAACAAGGGCCAAGCAAGGCTGGATCACGTTTCTCTTTCACAATCAGCACAGAGTTTCGCTCCTGCCCATTGGAAAAGGCTGAGGGGTGAGGCTCAGTGAGCCCTGGCTGAATCCAGGCAGGGGCCTATGGAGAGCAGAGTGTGTGCTTGCAGAAATCCACACAGCACCAACACAGTTAATGCAACCACGGTACATTTCCTTATCATTTTGGATGAAAAGTACATACGCAATGCTGGCGATATTGTCCTCTCAAGCAGCAAATAATTCAGACCACCTTTTGGTGCTGTTGTTGACTGCTTTCTCTAATGGCAGGGAAGGGAGATCTCTGCTGGAAAGTGTCAAACACCATGCAGAAACACATCTGGGAAAGGATGGGCTGTACATCAGCTGAGACCCTGTGGCCCTGGGCTGGAATGCCGTGCTTTGTGGCCAGCACACTCTGGGGTCCTCACACAAGCTGCTATCCTCCTGCCACTGGCACCCAAAGCCATCCAACTGAGCTGAGAACAGCTGTGTGAGCTGTGCCAGAGCAGGTGGGCTTTTGCTGCAGGCAGGAAAAGCTTTAAGATTCTTGCATGACAAAGATTCAGAAATGCAGTGTGCTGTTACCACGATACGCTGATAAACAGGATGCTTCTGAGGAAGCCTTCTTACCTAAATCAGTGTATCTGGTCCAGAAGAAGTTCCCGAGGCTACCAGAGCTGAGCTGGAAGGAAGGCTCGTTCCTCTTCCTTAGCGAGGTGCCATTCTTCAGAGATAAGGCGGCGTGCTCTGAATACCGGTAGGTGATGAAGCCGTATTTATCCCCCCTGAACAACCAGAGAAAGAAGTGGAGTTGTGTCAGGCTCCAGAGCCATGCTAATGCAACTCTGCTCTGTGCAATGTGCCCACGGATCGGGCTGGGATGGGCACGGTGCAGACCCCCACACACCGGGGACCACACCACCCACCTGTTAGTCCTGGACAAGACTTGGCACTCCACGATCTCACCGAACACCTCGAAGCGTTTCTTCAGTTCACTGGAACTCATGTTGTTGGAGAGGTTCCTGATGTACACCACCCGGCCTTCCCCCTGCCAGCACCAAGCCAGAGGTCTCAGGCTTCCAACCCACACCTCCACTGCTGCCAACGGATACTGGAAACATGGAGTGCCAGGAGCCCCCACCCTGACCATGCAGTCCTTCTGGCTCCCAGCCCACCAGCTACACGCCCCTTCCTCCCATTAAGTGCCTCCTGCACCCCGCTGGTGTTTGCAGCTCATCTTGGTAAAGTCCTCAGGGAATATTCCTGAGACAACTGGGGGAAAAATTCAATATGCTGCAGTAAAATGATGCCAGATGGGCAGGTGTGAACATATGCATATATGCATGGCAGTAGAGAGGAACAGCAGCTATGTCCCTGCACATGCAATCCCATTCCTGCCATACACCCATGGACCTGAGCTGCCTCTGCAGCAGCAGTGGTGGTAGGGCAGCTCCAAGGATTCTCCAGTTCACCACCCCAGCTGCCAGCTCCACAATGGAGTGCTGACGTGGGATGCTCTGGGTATTTCTGAGCCAAGGACTCCGTATATTGCCAATTGCCAATTGCTTCTGCTTTACTTTAGATTTTCTCTCTTCCCCCACCATGTCCTTGTTTAACACTGGCCTTGCACCAAATGATGCTGAAGCCAGAGCTAATGGGCTCCAGTGTTGCTTTTCCAGAACAGATTACTGAGGGCTGTGAGTTTCTTTGTCCCAGTGCACACGTGGGTGCCCGCGGTTGCAGCTCCCTGCTCACTTACGATGGCCTTTTCCCGTTTCTTCTCAAGCTGGCCCCGGCTCCTGCTGCCACCCTGACACCGCTCACTGTTCTTACACCTGCAGGGCACAAGAGTCAAGGTGAGCCCAAAAATGGGACCCTGGGGGAAAGCTTCAGCTGTCAGAAAGGAGCTGAGGGGCTGGGAACTATCAGCAGCAGAGGAGAGACTGAATCATGCAGAGCATTCCGCTGTGCTCCAGCACTGCAAAGACCTTTCCCTGATGCCAGAAGAGGTCTCTAATTGATGTATATCCCTTCACATGAATGGATCCGGCCTCTGCCCGTTGCTCCCAGCACAGTGGAAATCCACATTACTTCCCTAGGTGCCACTCTCTCTTGCTATGGCTGATGTTTTCAGCAGCTGCTGGTGTAGTACCAAATTATATCAATGGATTTTAATTAATTAGCATCTTTATGACTCAGGCTAGCAGACCAGAGAGAGCCAGTGCTGTCATACAGTGCCTGTGGATAGTGCTGGGAGCACAGCTTGTGTGCACCAAGCACAGCGGGAATGATATCAGGTCTGGTGCTGGGAGCAGGATGACCAGAGATTCACACAAGGACCTCCTGCAGCAGGAAGGGAGGAGACAGCCATTGTGCTGGGTCAGGCCAAGGGCCTGTCTGGCCCAGGACTGTCCCAAGCCATGGCCAAAGGAAGTTTCTACAACAGCATGTGCCCCCAAGCTACTGCCTGCAGCTGCTGACGGCTGCCAGCCTTTTCCAGTGCCCACTGTACCTGAAGGTGCGTCTGCTTGTGGGGGATCGGGACCGGCAGCACGAAGACCCCGAGCTGGACCTGCTCCGGGAGCAGTAATGCAAACTGGTCCTGGAAAGAGGGTTTCTCCGCAGGCACAGCTTGGTGTCCAATGGGCTGTCACAGTGCTCCTCTTCCTCCTCTTCCTCTTCCTCCTCCTCTTCCTCCTCTACCAGGGAGCCACTTTCACTGCAGCTGTCGTCAAAAACAGTGTCATATTCGGGGGTCTTGCAGAAAGCCATATCTTCATCATCAACAGGACTGTCTGGGACACCAAAGTGCTTCGTTAAACTGGCTCTGATCTCCTGATCTCTCAGCTGCTTGATGCCATCCTTCCACACCATCTCGCCACCTGCCTCCTTGCTGCCAAGGTCCAGCCCCTGGTAGTGTGTGTCTGGGACCCTCCTCTTGTGCTCCATCTCAATCTGGCCTGAGGGCTCCCAGGACTTGAGCACCTTCCTTTGCAGGGTGCCCTCAGGCTTCAGCACCTGGCAGTAGTCATGGTCCCCAAAGGAGCGTGAAAAGGGCCGCTTGAGCACTCCTGACTGCTCAGCAGCTCGGCTTAGGTGGGCCAAGAGCTCTGTCCTCTCGGGGTGCTTCTTCGTGGCTTTCTGAAAGGTGGCTGTGTCCCCTGTGCTGCCAGCTCTGGAGCTGGGGACTGTGCTGTCCTCCTTGCCTGTCTCTTGGGGGATGTCTGGCTTGTACAGATCCTCCTCAGCAGGCTTGTACGGTGGAGTGGTGGGTGGCGTGAGACCTGAACCCGTGACAAAAAACCACAGGAGTCAGCAGGAGTCAGCTCTGCCCCAACTGACACACTCCATTCGAACTCAAAGGATGAGCAGCATTGACATCGATCCACTCACCGGCACTTTGAGATAAAAGGATGCTGGATCCCCAGTGGGACCACCACACTCTCCCTTCCCCTTGGCCCATGCAGCAGACCCCTGAACAGCCCCCCACATCCAAACACCTACTGCAGTGCCTGTTCTTCAGAAAGACGGAGCCTAGAAGCTGCTCACAATGTTGTGAATCCCCATGGCTGATCATGATGGGGGCTCACACAGCACAAGATGAATGCACCAGCAGCTCTAAGCTGAACTCAGGCTGTTCTCCAGCCCAAGAAATGAGACATTAAAAGCCCATCCTACCTGCTGTACCACACAGCTCCATGGTCAGCATTGACACCGAGTTTCTCTTCCCAAAAGTAGAGTCGCTGGAGAACAGCAGAAAAGAAGGAAAAGAATGTATGTAGGTGAATACAGTCAGGAAATATAAAAAAAGGAGGCTGAGAAGATGCTGCCTACAGACGTACTATCCCACCATTCCTAGCGCCTGACGGTGACTGGGACAAGCAGCATGCCCTCTTTGCCACTGCTGGGGATGAGCTGCAGCCAGACCTTAGGACACATCCCCCAGGCACCTGTCCTCACCCAAGGGCCTGAAGCCCCCCGGCCCCTTGCACCCAGGCGATGTGCATGGCTCCCACACCCCCGCCCCGCTGCACATCGCTCTGCTTTTTGGCACGCCCAGCCGGACACAATGAGACGGCTTTCCAGCCCCAGCGCGGTTAGTTCTGTCGACACAGATCCTGTGTGCACTTACGTTTGCGCCAAGGACAGCGTGAGACACCGGGGTGTTTCTGAAAGGCAGGAGAAGCAGGGTTACCGGCGGAGCTGCGCTCCCTCCAGCGCCCGTGGGCGGGCAGCGGCGCGGGGCAGCGGGAGCCGGGGCTGGGGCCACTGCCAGTGAGGTGATGGCATCCACACGAGGGACACACACAGGTGTGGCCTGGCCTGGGCCGGCAGGGTCATGCACACAAAGCACTTGCCACGGACAGGCTGTGCCGGCTGTGCTTTTGGGGCACTGGTGCAGCTGAACCCCGCGGGGGGGTCCAGCCCAGTGTCTGCTGGGCTGCTGCTGTGGCACCCGCTGCCTCTTCCTGCCATCGTGATGGGGAAACTGAGGCAGGAGGCAAGGGGGAAGCGGATTGAAACAGCACCCCGACACCATAACAGTCCCCAGCTCCCCACACGTGGGACCCCGCGGCCAGCCAGCACCTGAGGGTCACCCCCGCCCCTCACCTGCATGCTGCTGGGGGGCACAGCGCTGGCTCTCACAGCTCTCACCATCCCCCAGGGATGCCGGGATGAGGGGCTGGGGCTCTGCTGGCGGCACTGCGCTCCCACCATCTCCCTCGTCTGTGCCGCCCACCTCCACTTCGGCCGCGGGCTCTTCGGCAGGGAAGGCCTCCAGTGGCGGGCACAGCACGGGCTCCCTGCTGGCTGTGGCCTCCTGGGGCACAGAGGGGTCGGAGGGCGGCTCGTCGAGGAAGGACAGCCAGTGGCCCAGCTCAGGGTTGAGTCTCTTGGACCGTCGGACGGCATAAACAGCGCTCTCGGGCCTGCGGGCCACCTTCCCCACAGCTGTGCCTGGTGTGCTCGCATGCCTCCCGGCCTCCTCCTCCACACCTCCAGGCTCCCCAGTCGCCTCCATCTCAGTCCCAGGGCTGTGCCGCGGCTCCACTTTCTCTGGCACCGCTTTGGCTCTGGATTTGCAGGCCCCACCAGCCTCCTCCCTGTCCTGGGCCTGCACTGCAGGGCAGCAGGCGGGGGGCAGCCGCGCCAGGGAGGCGTACACGGGCCTGCCCAGGCGGTAGGGCTTGCTGACATCGCACAGCAGGTCCCGTGCCAGCAGCTCCTTCAGGATGGAGAAGGAGGCTGCTGGCTTCTGGCAGGCCCCAGCTGCGTGCCAGGCGCAGCCCGGCCGGCTCTCTCGCAGGGCGCAGTCTGCTTTGGCTCTCTTGAAGGGGCTGCCGCAGGGCTGGGGCCTGGCATCAACAGCGTCACGGGCGGGCAGCTTCCTGGGCGGCAGGCAGTAGGTGTGCATGTAGCGGATGAGCTCCACCACCGAGTGCAGCCCCCCCTCGCAGGAGAACCGTCCGTCAGAGCCGTCCTCCACCGAGGAAGGAGAGGGCACCGCATCGCTGGAGCTGAGCGAGTCCTCACTGCAGTCGCTGTCGTCCTCATGCTGGACGCAGTCACCCACAGGTGGGTAGTGGTGGCTGCTGTGGCACCGCTCGGTCACACGGGGGGCTTTGGTCTGGGCACAGGGGGTGGCGGAGGTGAGGTGCCGGTGCAGCTCGGTGCAGCTGCGGCTCTGCGGAGCGCCCGCCTGCCGGTCCCGGGGAGCATCCACCTTGGGAGAGGAGAGAGCCAACCGTCAGCTCCGTGCCCCGCAGGTGGATGTGGGCCCAGCACCAGAGCAGGGGAAGAGCCACGTGGGATGGTGGAGACACCCAAGATGACAGAGTTCCTCCTTCCCAAGACAGTTTTACAGCTGCTCTTAGGCAGTCTAATTTGCCCATCCTAATTATCGTTATTCAAGTAGAAAAATCTTTGACGGCAGCTTCTGCTGGGGTCAGGAAGGGGCGTGGGGCCGGGTGCTGCAGTGCTCCCTGGGCCCAGTGGTGCCACGGTGGCTGCAGGCTGATGGGAGGGGGCCAAGGGGCAGTTCCTATACAGCAGCTCTCAGTGACGCTGGGAGAAGACTGAGGCCCTGAGCCCCACAGCAGAACAAATCCACATGTTTTGCTGAGCCCCATAGAGACATATGGAAAGCAGAAGGCACTCCACCACCCCACGATGCTGTCCCCCTTCACCATGGGGCTCAGGGCCCTTTTCCGTGCATGCACCACTCAGGAAATACCTTTGTGTAGGGTCGAGATGGCCGAGATTTGGGTGTCCCCGGGCGCCGGGTGCTCCCATCCCTCTGCACCTCACAGCTCGGAGGCGATGGAGAGAGGAGCAATTTCTTCAGCTGCAACGAGAAGTGTCGAGAGAGTGTGTCAGCATGGCAGCTCCTCCAACGAGCACCGCGTGCGGGGGGCTGCGGGCTGTGCCCAGTGCTGAACTCCCAAAGTAGGGGAAAAAGGCAGGAGGGGTCTCACACCTCTCAGTGCCCACAGCCTCATGCCTAGGAGCAGCACAGGGGCAGTGGGGATGTGGAGCAGGGGAATTTGCTTCCCAGAGCCATCCCTGCTCCGACCACATGGGAGCTGTCGTAGCGTTGCATGCCGCAATCCATCAGCTCTGTCCTTTGGTGACAGAGTCCATATTTACATGGTGACTGATCTGGGCCAGTTTTGGGTACTCCCCAAGGCTCGTTCAGCTGTAACACCCAGAACGAGGCCCCCGCTCATTAGTGAGCTCGCAAAGCACTGTGCAGATGTAACCCTTATGTGTTGGGCTGAGGTTCTCCCCCAGTACGCTTCCTACAGAGACTCCACTGCAATCCCAAGGGTGGTCAGAGTGGAGTTCTCCTGAGTTCACACACAGCTCTGACAGCCAGGTTAACAAAACACTTCTGCTCAAAAACCTTTTTTTGGTCAGGAAAAAAACCCACCACACCCAGCAGCAACAGCATTTTGTGCTGCACCTGGAGGCGACAGCGGCTCAGCACAGGGTGACCGCATAGGCTCTGCAGGACTGCATGGAGGCACAGATCTGAAGTGCCCTGGGTCAGGCACTGGGATTTTTTGGATAATAGGACTGGGAGTGCCCAGGTCAGAGCATCAGCTGGAGCTGTGGGTGTGCAGCTCCTGTTGATGGAAGCAACCAGCACCTTCTCCCTCCCCCTGCAACGTATACATCCTATATATACACATACATATTGTGTGTGATATATACACCCACCTGCGCGCGGGACTGTGGGAGGTGGAAATGCGCGCTCTCACCACTGGATGTCACTCCTCCCCACCAGGGAGCGGGGCTGGGGGGACCCCGGGCAGGGCTGGGGTCTGGGGGGGCCGTGAGCCCTGGGAAGGAGCAGGACAAGTGGCCCCATCCCCACGGACTTCTTGGGAATGGCAGAGGTTTGCAGCGAATGCTGCAGTGGGCCGGGATATGGGGAGCAGGGCCAAGCCTGGTAGTGCAGGGACCAGGAGAGATGTCCTGTTTCCAGGTTACAGGGACTGAGGCCACACAGCCCTGGGGGAGCTGCGGAGAAGGCATGGGGGGGTTACACCCACCCGCTACAAGCTGAGGGCAGTGCTTGCACTCAGGCTAAGTCCCCTCTGTCCCTCGTTAGAGAGCAGCGGGAGCTTTGATACTGGGTGGGCCTCAGGGCCATGATGCTCTGGAGGGAGCCCCAGGCAGCCCCACAGTCTCTTGTGGCATTAACAGGGGCTGTGGGTCTCACCATGACACTCCCCACCTTGTGACACCCCCTGTGGGTGGCACCCACCCCCACCCCCTTAAATAGATACTGGAACACACACAGCAGCACCCAGCTTGTTCCCATGAGGATGGCGATGGAGGTGACAGCAATGATGCAGAACATGTATACGTATACAATACAAGTATATGCTTTGGTATTGACGGTTAAAGAGAGTTTTAAGCCTAGAATGAAAAAATTCAGACCTTTGCTTCCTATCATACCCATGCAGCCGGCTTATCAGGGGCTCATCCAAATCCACCTTAAACAGTAGGAAGTGGGTTCTTACTAGAGACAGCTCATCAACCTCGGGGGCCGGGGGCAGCTCCCCCGTGACCAGGGCGCTGGGTTTGGGGGAGGGGGCAGGCGAGGTGTAGGCATGGTTGAGCGTGTCCCCCTCTTCCATACATCGGAAGGCAGCCAGGCCCACGTCATCTCCCTGCATATCATCCAGTGTCTCGGTGAGGGCCGCCAGCAGCGCTTCATTCTCGCTGTCTATTATCTGAAAGGAGCAGGGAGAGGGATTCAGGCACCTTTTGGTCCTCCTCCGTAATATCCTTAAACATAAACCATACTCAACAAGAAGCAAACATAAAATTAGATTGGGAGCAAAGTCAGGCTCACAAGGAGGACTGCTGTCTGCACACAGCCTCCCTTGCTCCTCTCTTCATGTTTGAAAACTAAATATCTTTTGTTCCATGTCCTAACCTTGCTAGCAGTTACTAGATCAGGCTCCAGGGAAAGGCAGCAGGATGCTCCATTTTTGGCTCTGTTTCTTTTCCTCCTGTTATTGGCACGAGACTGCAGCACACACGAGTTCAGTGGGATACATTTCATCATACTCTGCTGTGCCTCACAGGCCTGCCTTTTGCATTTCTTTTCTGTTTATCTTTTCCCCAGGAAGTTCAGCGGAAAATATGCATCTCGTGATGAAGGTCCGTCAGCAGGACTGGACCACTTTCAAGCACAGCATCAGCACAGCACCAAAGCCAGAAGGCTGTTATTAAGGCCAGGTTGGAAAATATTGGGACTTTTTTGTTGTTGTTCCTTTTCTTTGAGAACAAATCCTCCTCCTTCCCCAAAAGTGACCCTCTGTAGGTAACCTGGCCAAGCAGGCCTCCAAGTCAAGGGCCTGGCAATGTTCAGGAGGGCATGGCAGCCCTGACAGGACAGGCACATCCAGGCCACAGCATGAGAGGAGGGAGAGTTTTGGGAAAGGCGGCTCTGGCACCTCCTCATTAGCCTTACTCTGCCTGCTCCATTTACAGACAGTGAGCAAATTAATGAGAGCACTAATCAGCTGGGGAGGGGATATTAATAGCAGTCCCATCGCACCTTCCCTCCCTTCTCCACACACCCTGTGCTCCCCACGCCTTTGCCTTTGGGTCCCTGGTGCCTGGCTGTCACCCAGCACGAGCCACACAAATGGTACTGCCTCCAGTACATGGAAGGATGTGTCCCCGTGTCCCCATGTTCCTTGGGTACCTGGAAGAGCTCAGAGTCGTCGGTGCTGTACTGGCTGGACTCCGTCTCGGAGTGCTCTGCACACCACTGCAGCTCGCCAAAGCAGCCAGCTGAGTCGAAGTCACTGGCATCCAGCTGGGACAAATCGATCTCGGGGAAGTCGGAGTAGAGATGCTCCTCATCAGACACCTCATACTGGGGAGAGAAGAAAGTGGCAGTGAGTGTGGAGCTGCAATGCAAGGGGTTTCACTGGGGTTCCCACATGCATCACCTCCTCTCAAGCACATTCCTCAGACTACAACAATGGCATTTTGGAATAAAATGGAAACGCTGGGCACATATCAAGCCCAGGATGGGCAGAGCCTGGAGTGTGGCAGCCAGCAGTGCAGCCTGTGGTGCCTTTGATGATGCACGGTGAGCATCGAGGGATCATCCTGCTGCCCAACAACAGTGAGAGGTGAGAGCCATGGGCACACACATATGCAACACACAGGGCAAGGCTCTGCAGGATGGCTTCGCACCACTTACCCTGTCCCCACTCCTGCTACGTGGCAGCACAGTGCTCCTTGGGGAGGTGCACGCCCCAAGGCACTGCAATGAAGGCCCCTCAGGCTCCTTGCACAGGCAAGAAGAGAAAAATGGCACAGTGATCACCATCACCGTCCATATGTATGTGGGGCAACTGGAGCTCTAGGAATCGAGCTAAAAATATCCACTGAATCACCGAACACAGCTGAGACCTGCCCTGATCCCACCTGGCTCCTCACTGCCTGCACGGAGCTGCACCCGCCTGCCCCACTCCCCCCGTGCATCCCCAGCAAAACATGGGGCTCCAGCACAGGGTGAAAGGTCCGCGTGCATCGCCCCAGCATTGGCTGCCCAGAGGGAGTTTTCTGGTGATGAGGGAAGCAAGTTTGTTTACACAGCAAATGGATTTTGAAGCAGGCAAACATCTGAGCACGTGAGAGAGGCAGAAAAACACGGTGGCCTCCACTTGTGCGGCGCTGACAGGCTCTGCTCCACCACGCAGCAGGGGGACAGGGATCTCAAACTGAGCTGCAGGAAGGGCAAAGGCAGTATTTCTGTCTTCCTCATCTTCTGCAACAACTCCAGCTCCCCCTTCTCCCTAAATCTTCCCATGGGAACACAGGCAAAGGGCTTTATTTTTAGAAAAGCCATACACACACATATATACGTGTATGTATGTTCAATTAAAAATAGCAAAGCAGACAAATTCTCCTGCTCCTTTTGATATGCCACAAGGGAAAAGTTCTTGGTGCTGAGATCACAAGGAGCAGCTGACACCAGTGCTTGGGACGTCTTTTGATCAACTCCACAGATGTGACACGTCCCCGTTGGCAACAGGGCTGGGTAAAAATAAACTCCTGCAATCCAATGCCATGGAGCTGCCCAAGCCGGGCACCCAGAGACGGGCATTTGGTGCCCCGCGTTGCAGTGACCCCAGGCAGTATCTGCAGTGGATGCTCCTGGACTCCCAGCTCCCATATGGGTGAGCAGTGCCTCAAAGCTCCGCACCCCAGCAGGGCACCCCTGTGCCAGGCCATGTGCCAGGCTTTCAGCAGGAGGGATCTTTTCAGGACAGGAGCACAAGTGGGGAGCATGAGCTGGTGCTGGTGTGGTACCAGTGTGGTACCACTATGGCACCAATGTGGTACTGGTGCAGGCCTGCTCTGGGCATGGGACTTCATCTGTTCCAGTTTTCCCTTTTCCCATCCTTTCCACTTCCTGCTGCCTTGGGAGAGGAGTGAACTTTTGTTCTAATTTTATTCGGGAGTTTGTAGGAAGATCAGCCATGGGTTCTTGGTGTGCAGCCAGCAAACACCCATGGAGACTTGCTCGAAAATTCGGAGGCATCCTCCAATCTGGACACCTGGCCTGTGCACTGCTGCATGGCTTCAGCCAGAGCTGCAGGGAGCTCTGCCATGTCCAACCCATCCTGCAGCAGGAACGGCTCCAGGGTGTCCCCATGCCACAGCCCTATATTGTCCAGGGACACAGAGCCAGAGCCTCAATAGTGGAAGCAGGACCTGCCTGGGAGATGTGCAGGGACCCACACAGTGGGGCTTTGTGTTCACTTTGCGGGTTTGTGCAGAGCTGGCCGTGCCCAGTAGCCCTGTGCTGTTCTGTGGAGATACCTTGGCTCCCGGTACTCTCTATTCATTGTCCCCAGCGTCCCCATGTACCACGGCTGAGCCAGGAGCAGCGATAGCATGAGGGACAGGCTGCCAGGGACATTCAGAGGTCACTGTGGTGGTGGAGGCTCTTTGCTGGGGCCCTGCTTTGCCCAGGTCTTTTCCCAAGAAAGCACAGTGCAGCCTCTTTCAAGCAAACAACTCTCCCAGCCTGTTCTGAGTCTTCACTCAGCAATTGCCTGAGTAGTGACAGTGGGGAGGCAGGGGACAGCCAACTTGTGTCTGCCTGGGAGCTGGAGCAACCACTGGCCAGATTCACCTCTGAGCAGACCCTGCTGAGCTCAGCAAGGCACTAACACTGGTATGGGGACAGCAAGTGGGCCATGTCCCCGGGCAGGTGATTTGCAGCTTTTTCTCCTGCTTTGGAGCAGCACTAACTTCAGTGGAGGTGTTTGAGAGGTTTTATCTGCTAAGAAAGGAGCCCAACTATATTTCAAATATTGGATTAACAAAATGGGAAATGTTTTTTTTTCTCTTTCAGTGTGAACTTGGGCTCCTCAGGCTGAACCAGCCAGCAGTTAGTGTGGTCATGGCCGGCCTGGGGGCACCCAGAGAGCAATGGGTTCTCCCATGCATGGCACCAGCGAGTCCATGACCGCAGCTCAGGGACAGCACTGAGGCAGCACTGGCCCTTATCTTGCAGCCTCCTGCCTGCAGGCCCTTGAAGTCGTGGCCAAGTGCTCTGCAGCACAGCTCTGGGCGCAGCGGGCATGCCGTGCTTGTGCTCAGCGGTGCTGCACAAGCACAAGGCTCTGAAGTCTGCCGGCGCGGATGGGGCACGGCAGCCTCTCCATGGCTTAATCCCAGTTAAGCTGGAAGGGCAGATCTGCACCGCCACTTCCACACATGTCTCCAGGATGCTGTGCAATCGGCTTGTCACTCACATGCCACTTAGCTGCTCTCTGTGTGTAACGAACAAAAAAAGGAAGGAAAGAGGGGGCTTCCCAGGGAGGGTGAAGGAAGAAGCCGGAGGCTGTGCCCTCACAGGGAGTGAGGCTGTGACTCACTGCCCCTCTATCCCCACCACTAAGCGCTTGCTCGAGGCATTAAGGGATAAACACATCCACACACACAGGGGAGACAGAGCTCCAAATTAGCTAGTGGCATCCTGGCTGCAAGGTGAGAAAATCCAGAGCCCCACGGGTAGCTGCCACCACAGCCCTGCTGCAGGTAGGAATGCTGCACCCTGAGCTCTCAAAAGGAAAGAAACACCTTGGGCAGGAGCTTGGAGAGAGCTGTTAGCGCTTATCTGGGAAATCCGTAATTACAGACTGCTTGAAATGGGGATTACGGCCATGCGGGTGGCAGACACTGTGTGATTGTTCCAGCTGGGGCAAGGGAGCGAGGGGGCAGCAGCACTGGTGCCACCAGCACCATCCTGGTGCCCCGCGGGCACCGACCGTACCCTGTGGGCCCCTGCAGCCGGCGCCTGCCCGTCCCAGAGCTGTCACCGCAGGGCTGTGTCGGCTCCCGCCCCGCTCCCCGATAAGAGCATGGCAAGGGGCGGCTGCCCCCGGTGCCAGGAAGGGGGCACGGGATGGTGGAGGAGAGAGCTATAAATAAGAGTAAATACAGCAAGGAGGCACCTGGCCAGCACTGTGAAGGTCACTGGAGCGCGTGCCGCAGATAAGCAGCCCCCCTCCCCACTGGCATTTGACAAAATGTCACCGAAGGAGCGGTGCAGTGTCAGGTTGTGTCGCTGCCTGCTCCCCCCTGTTATTTATAGGCCCCGCGGTTCTGGGGCCACTGCCACCCCTCCTGCAGAGCTGCGAGGCTGCAGCACTGGGGCCTGCCCTGCTGCGGTGCTGCATTTGGGGGGAGAGAGGGGCAGAGAGAGCTGCCAGCTGCCCAGCTCTGCGCAGGCATGAGGTTAGGAGAATTTGACCTCTGCACTCTCTTTTGTTTTGAGTTGGTACTGATTTGTTTTAATGATTCAGCCCAGCCAGAAGGAAAAACAGCGCTATCATTTAAACTTGGACAAAGCAAACATCAGGCTGGGCCTTCCTTCCTCAGAAATAGCCACTGTTTGCCTGTGCTGCTGCAGCATGGGGCAGCCCTGGCCACAGTGCCAGCTTTGCACAGCTCCCTGCACAGTTCCACACAAGCTCCATGCACGGCTCCCTGCTCCACACACAGCTCCACGCAGAGCACTCTGCAAAGCTCCATTCACAGCTCCCTGCACAGCTCCACGCACAGCACTCTGCAAAGCTCCCCGCACAGCATCATGCACAGCACCATGCACAGCTCCACGCACAGCTTTCTGCAAAGCTTCCTGCACAACACCATGCACTGCTCTTTGCACAGCTCTCTGCACAGCTCCACGCACAGCATTCTGCACAGCCACATGCACCACTGCATGTACAGCTGCATGCAGACAAGCAGTGCAGGCAGCACACAGAGCTGCTCAAGGTCTGCGGCACAGCCATAGCCGAAAGCACAATGAAAGTGTTCTCATTCACTGACTTTTGTCTTACATTAGAAGGGTATAATTAAGATCAACCACAAGATGCGAGTAATAGGAAATATTAAACATTAACTACAAACAATAAACATGAACTTGCCAGGATATCTTTGATATGGTGCAAAGATGGAATAAATTGCATTAAACTATCCTTGAGTCACAGCATGGACCCAGAATAAAGGAGCCTGAGATAGTGCGATAATGCCCTGAGTAAACAAAGGTGTACTGGAACATTTTAAACAAAGGTGTGCCGAGTTTAGGAAGAAGGGCAGCAGCATAGTGCCTACATCGCAGGTTGTGGAGCTGCATTCTAATACTGCACCCACCGCTGTCTGTGTGGGCTCTGTGTTGCAGTCACATTGGGCACAGCCATGGTGGCCTGGGTCTTGTCCCAGACGGTGCCCAGAGGGGCAGGGAGCAGCGGCGGCATTGGGGCAGGCAGGGAGCCCCTAGCACAGGGGTCCCCCCCAGCACAGGCTGCACTGTGGGATGGGACCAACGCCTGACTCAGTGGGGAGCTG